CCGAAACCACAACCCCTTTCATGCTCTTCTCCAGGAAAGAAGAAAGCCATGACAAAGCTACACCTTCAAGCAATGTCCCAATCATGCCGATTTGAGACTTGGGAGTGGGGTACCGCCGATGTTGAAATGCGAAGATCAACTCCATTTGGTTCAGGAATCCACGAAGCTCCGAACACTTGCCTGAAAATTTCGCTGGGAAACTCACCTTCGGTTCAGGAACTTTGCTTGATCCTTGAGCGAAAAGTGAAGCAAGCTCCTGTTGCATGTGAAGAAGGGTCGCCTTTAGCTTGGTATTCTCAAACTAAATTTTTGCAAGGACTTCGGCAAATAAATCAGGATGGCTTGGAGACTCCATTGGCAAAGAAGAAAGAAAAGGGGGAAAAAGGCAAGGCAGTCAAACAATCAAAACGAGCTAAAGCAAAAACAAAAAAGCATAATCTGAATTAAACTGTCAAGACCCCCAACAAGATCAAGACTAGAAAATACAGAAGACAAAGAGAAAAACTAGTGGAAATAAAGAAGAGGCCTTAGACTAGCGTTGATTCAAATTGTGAGAAATGGAACAAGGCTAACCTATATATACTATAAGTTGATGAAGCTCCACCACTCTTGGATCGAGGACAGCTTAAATATAGCTAAGGTCGAGGAGGCGCCACATCATCATCAGGAATGTGGCTCGAGACTCAAGAATCGTACTGGAAATCAAAGGGTGAGGAATAGAAAAGTGTCTCGAGAGTCAGGAATGTGGTTTGCAGGTCAGGAATCTGGCAAAAGTCAAGAATGTGGCAAGAATTGGGGGATTCCTAATAGTATGGTTGACTGAGATCTATTCAAATTAGTTGGTGCGATAATTGGTATGAATAAGTGTTTGTTTGCTTTATGACATTCATTCTATTCTATTAATTATTGTTACAGTTGGTTTTGATATGTTTAGATATTATTTCCTTTAGGTGATACATTCACAAACATTTTACTTACTAGTCGATGATACTTTATGTTCTTTTAGTTATCTTTTGTAAGTTTTTTCTACAATCTTTGATAATTAAGTTTTATCATTAAGTTTTTTTTATGGTACACTTGCTATTGAATTTTGTTGGATAGTGAATTCTATATTTTCCAATTATGATAATCTTAGTGGGTCTTATACAATAATTCTTGTTTATCAAATAATAACTTACTTGGAATACTTTCGTGTTCTAATATAAGCTTTATTCACTGATAATTAAGTCTCTAAGCTATTATTGTTTTTTACTTTAATATTTTCCATCTTTTGATCTTTCAATTTGAGCTAGTATAAGTAGACTAGCTTTGACACTTTGTGTGCATAGTGAAATTTCTAGTCATGGGGTAGCTACTATCGACTAGTCATATCACCCACCTTTCCATGACTGTGTAAACAACTCTAACTATATGTTTATAGTAGTATATCTAAACTTTATTAATAGATTTGGTTTCTTTGCTTATGAGGGTTAGGGCTTTTAGCTTCTCTCTTTATATCACCTGTAAGCAAGGATGCATCACTCTTTTATAAGCCGGGTGACACCTAGAGTAGCAAGGGTGGCTAACTCTGTTGATCATTTCCTTGTCAATAACGGCAGGAATGTGTTTAAGTTGTAGCATATTTACGTTAGATGGAAAGGTTACCTTAACTCATTTAAGTTGGTGCATTTTTCACATAATGTGATCACTTTGAACTTTTTCTAAAGTTGTTTCCTTGGCAGTGATCTAAACTAAAATATGCATCGACAAAAATATCAATCTTTCTTAAAAGGGGAAGAGTGTCACAAATGTGACTATAGGTATTGAAAGTTACTTGTTAGCTAGTTCTTTTATATATTCTTTCCTTATTGCCACAATAGTAAGAGGTTGGTATTGCTAGACCCTTTTTTAGTTTCCACTTAGACTACTTGAGAAATTAATTTTTGCATGTGCACTTGACCAAAAGAGCATAAAGACGGAATTCCTAAGTACTATTAGTCAAACATACTTTACCTAGTTAGAGAAACTCATTTGTTAACTTGCACTTACAAGTGTTAAGAGCCTTTGTGATATTGAGCTTAGTCCCTCAATATTCACAAAATGATAGGTTACTGTATCTAGCAAACACCCTCATTATCATGCATCTTGTGTTAGTTCCATTAGTTCCATGCTTAATTGTTATTTATAGAAAGTATCTAAATTTGCTAATTTGGCATATTTATGGAATGTAAAGATTGTTTTGAACATAATAGTATTCATTCCATACCCAAATTCTCAATTTAGTGTCATTCCATATTTAGTAAGTTTTGAGTTACTAACTCCTAGTACTAAGGGTGACTAAAAGTGAAAACCCAAAACGTGTGTTCCTAGAGGGGGTTAGTGGGTAGGTTGAGGGTATAGTTTAGCTCTTACTTGTGTGCTTATTGTTGTTTTATGTCTGGTTTGGGTATAAACCCAAATTCCACACCATGCTAGCTGGTAGAGTACTTATATCCTCACATTAGGCCATCAGTATATTGAAATAGTGCTAGGCTTCATTTGGCTTCATTTTGTGGATTAGTCCTGACATTGGGATGCTGACTACTCTAGAATCATTCTAAGTTGCTCTGTGCTTCTATCTTTTCGCTCTTTAGGGTATACACTCGGAGTCGCTTTGTGCTCCAATACCTTCACTCCTTGGCTCCATACTTAAAAGTTTGGCTCCATTCATTTATTCATTGGCCAAAGGCTTTAAAACTCGGGTTTTGCTCTACCATCTTTGGACACATAGTATGTGGCACATGGCATATTGAGGGTTTAGGTTTCGCTCTATCGTTATCCTATGGTAAATCGTCATAGGATAAAGGGTGAAAACCACATGCACTATATTGTGTTACAATCAATTTATACTAAAGAAAAAGTCAAAAGCTTGACTAAGCACCACCCACAATAGTTATAATTCAATCTCAAAATCACCCACATGCATAATTAGGTCTACCTCATCTTGCATACATATATGTGTATAGTTGTTGTTAAGACTGGCTCTACTACATGATGTAAATATAAATAAAAAATGTGATAACAAATTAATATAAACCTCTAAATTTAGACTTCTCAAGAGGTAATCTAGCCTAATACTACTCAAATATATATCTTAACACTTTTTTCCAATTTATATATCCCAAGAGCTTTAGCCAACTAGTAAAGGGGGTTGTAAAACACAAATCCCTAAGCCTTAATGTGGAGCTGAAAATATGCCACATAGTAGTGGCTGAAATGGAACTCTAGCAAATAAATATGTGGGTGAGAACTTAGAATAGGGGTGGGGGGGCAAAGTATAGTAGGGAGTGTGGGGGTTAGATTCTAATCGAACCAATTTAGTTAGGAAAGGCCAACGTGACTAATTCAAATATGGGTGGCACTACGTAACCAATCCAAATGTGGGTGGCACTACTTACTTGGATACCTTGTGTGGCTCATTAAAACTTTGTTTTAGCCACATGGCTGAGTCACCTTAAATGCAAAAGGTGGGGGCAATACCCACAAAGTTTGTATTGGGCTGTAGTGTTTCAAAATGTCATTCCAAAATCCCAGACTATGGAGAAGAAAAGGTGTGGTCCTCTTGTTTATTGACTAAAGGTATGGTTATGTGGTAAGGAAGTCCCAGAGATTAATGGGATTTAATGGATGGGCCTTTAAGCTTTAAACTAGTGGTGGTGTTAGCAAGTACTACCATGAATGAAGAGGGATTTAGTAGAGATTGAACAAGTGATATTAAGGGTGGGATGCTAAGGGGTGGTCATGGGATAACCACTTATGAATAAATGGCCCAATCTTTAGGAGATATAACCATAATACAAATGATTTTAGACTATCAATAAAACAAGTACAAATGGACATAGCTTTAGCATAATGGGCTAATCTATCACTAATACCTTTGAAAGTTTATAATAAGATTGAACATGTAGAACACTTGGACCAAATGAAAATGCAATATAGCTTTAAGGCCACCTCTTAGGCTAGTAAATCCCCCAAGTTAGAATGAGGACCTGTGAACATTGTGAGTGAGACTCCTCTAAGTTGTCAAAAGTGTAGTTCTAAACTCTAATAAATCATTCCTTTTGGTTGGATATGTGAAATAAGTTAGTGCTCATTGTTGGAGCTTCATATTAATCAAGGAATCATACATTATACTTGTGGATCCTCTACCTCGAGATAAAAATCAGTGGCTTCAACATCATCCGGAGCCAACTCAAAGTGCATAGTGGCATTGTGATAGATGTGCATCCACACCTCTCTGAGCTGCAATGGAGTTTGAGTGTTTGCAAAACCAAGTAATCCCATCAATAGACCTCGCAAATGAAAGCTCTCACCGTTGATGTGTAAAAGAACCTCCTCCTCACTCATCCACCTCTTTTCAAGGGTGCTCCTGATCATTTCTTCCCACAATACTACTTGCTCATTCATTGTCAAGGCATTTTCAGGAGGGCAAATATAAAGAGCTTTGTTAAGTGTTCTAAGTTGCGAGGTCCTCCTTGGAGAGATACATGATAGTGAATCTGCAAAAGTAAAAGGAGACAAATGCATAATCTAGAAACAACAAAACTGGTACTTTCTGATCTCCATCCAAACCTTGTCTCTGGGTGGAGTGAAAGTCAAGAAACCATCCATTTGTACAAAACTGGCAAGCATGAGCCCCTTGATATAGACATGTTAGAAATTCCTGCATCTTCGATGGCTCTCTAGATAGCTAAGTTGTCCCTATACATGGTCCTTGTAGATCCTATCTGCATCCATCCCAAACTCAAAGGGGTAGAACTTCTGGAGAAGACAACTCTGTAAGTTGGGATTCACTTGAAAACCTTATTGATGTTTCAGCTTCTTTCATGGCTCCAATGAGATCGTACTTCCTTCAGGGCTCCAATGAGAATATAATTAATTAAATTTTAATAAATTAAAAATCGTTTTCTTTGTGTAACACGTGTAAAACAATATTTTCATTGGTCATAGTTAAATTGAGGATAGAGGGTTTAATTAGGGCTCTTGCGCCCGTAGAAGGGGATATTTCGCGAGCGCGGACGTGCTTATGAGGTAGGATTTGGATTTCTGGCCGATCGTGTCTCTCGAATCCGCATTGAGCGTAGAATGTAGTCAGTGCAGGTGAAAATCTCGGACAAATTTGATTGCCCCCATGGAGATCTCCTGCGTCGACAAGAGCATGCTGCGACTGGCTGTGGCGCTGGACAAGCGCGGCAGCGGCAATGCGAACCGAGAGGAATCCGTGAGAATGCCGAGATTATCCGAATCCAGGGAAGGCGGCGACTCTATCTCCTCCCGAAATCCGGGGGCGCCTTACAGGTCCCGGAGCTACAGCACCAGCGGATTTGTGAGGAAGACATTCAAGCTGCCAAGCAATGGCCCCCTGGAGCTGGAAATTCTGGTGGAAAGGATAGAGCGTGGAGAGATTGGTTTCGAGGAAGTCCGAGCGTACACGGACAGGTACTTAACCGGAAGCTTTGCTGGGCGAGTGTTGCGGTGCTTCAAGGATGGAAAGATAGCGCTCGAGTTCTTCAAGTGGTGCCAGGACCAGGCAGGATTTTCTCACAGTACTTACTCGTACAATTGTCTCATGGATCTTCTCTTCCGGATGAAGCTCTATCAGGACGTCTACGCGACTTTCAGGGCCATGAGAGAGTGCTCTCCAAACAGGTATACTTTCCGGGTGGTGCTCAAGAGCTTTTGCAAGCAAGGGAAGCTCCGGGATGGTTACAAGCTGTTTGGGCAGATGCTAGACAATGGGATAAGTCCGGATGGGATCGAGTACAACATTCTCATCGATGGATACGCGAAGAAAGGGAGAGTTGACGACGCCAACAGGTTGTACGAGGAGATGGTTTCTGTTGGCTTGGAGCCGAGCATCTACACTTACAACTCCTTGCTCAATGCGTTCTGCAAGGAGACGAAGATGAAGGAAGCCATGGAGCTGTTTAAGACGATGGCCGAGAAAGGCTTCGAGCCGGACGTTGTCACTTACAGCACCATCATCTCGGGGCTTTGTAAGACGGGGAAGGTGACCGAAGCTTTGGAGATGGTAGAGGAGATGACCGAGAAGGGTGTGAATCCCGACGTTGCGACTTACACTATCATCGTGGACAGGCTCTGTAGAGCGGGCAAAGTTGACGAAGCTGACGAGCTGTTTCACAAGATGATTGAACGGGGCTGCTCGGCAAACACTGTTGCTTACAACGCGCTCATCAACGGGCTCTGCAAGGACGAGAACATCGAACGGGCTTACAAGCTACTTGAAGAGATGGCGAGCAAGGGATACGAGCCTGACAACATCACTTACAACACAATTCTCAGCGGGCTTTGCAGGATGGGGAAGGTGAGTGAGGCCAAGCAGTTTTTTGACAGTATGCCTTCCAGGGGATACAGTCCCGACGTTGTGGCATACAACGGTCTTCTGGACGCTCTGTACAAGGAAGGCAAAGTTGCAGAGGCTTGGGGTCTTTTCAAGACCATGGGTGAGAGGCCGGACAGGCTAACTTGCTACATTATGCTTCAAGGACTCTTTAATGAGAAGAAAGTGGACGATGCTGTCAAGTTCTTTGAAGGGGTCATACGAGACGGCAAGTTTGGCCACGAGGGGGCAACGTATTCACTTCTGATAGAGGGCCTTTGCAAGTCCAAGAAGGTGGACGAAGCTGTCACTATGCTCAACGAGATGCTCGAGAAAGGACACGTTCCACAGACTGTCCCAGCAACGGCACTTCTCTCGACCCTTTGCAAGGAGAAGAAGGTTGATGATGCTTTGGCCTGCTTTGAAGCGCTGAAAGCCAGGGGATACAAACCGGACGTGGTGACTTACAACGCTCTTCTCTCCGGGCTTAGAAAATGCGAGAAGTTTGATCTGGCCGTCAGCCTGCTGGAAGACATGGCGGACAGGAAAGTCGCTCCAGACTTGATTACGTACAACACACTTATCGATGGCTTTTGTCGCGTTGAGAAGACAGACGAGGCTATGAAGCTGTTCAAAGACGTCATCGCCAAGGGATACATGCCAGACACTGTGACTTACAACTCGATACTGCTGGGGTTGGCAAGAAAAAGCAACATGGACGAGGCCGAGGAAATGTTTAAGAAAATGGTGGATAGCGGCTGTGCTCCAAATGGCGCAACGTACAGCATCGTTCTCTCGGGTCACTGTAGAGTGGGGAACATGGCTAGATGCCTCGAACTCTACGAGGAAATGACCGAGAAGCGGTTCAGCCCCGATGTCCTGCTCTGCAATGCCGTCATCGATATGCTTTGCAAGGCCAAAAAGGTGGACGATGCGCACAAGGTTCTCGAAGAGATGAGCAAAATCGGAGCCGTGCCGGATGTGGTTACGTATAACATCCTTCTGGACGGGCTGTGCAAAACCAACTTGGTGGACAAGGCCCACGAGCTGTTCTCGACCATGGTGGACAACGGCTGCGCTCCAGACATCGTAAGCTACAGCGTTGTCCTCAACGGGCTGTGCAAGACAAACAAGGTGCACGATGCCAGAGTTCTCTTCGACAGGATGATCGAGAGGAAGTTGGTTCCGGACGTTGTCACCTTCAACATCTTGATGGACGGGCTGTGCAAGGCAGGGAAGTTGGACGAGGCCAAAGATCTTCTGGATGTTATGAGCGAGCACAACGTTCTTCCAGATGGAGTGACTTGCACAACGCTCATGCACGGCCTGTGCCGGGACAAGAGAACGGACGAGGCTGTGAGGCTTTTCCAGTACATGGTGGAGAAAGGCACTGTGGCTGACGTCCTCCCCCACAACATCGTCCTCGCAGGCCTGTGCAGGGAAGGCAAGCTCGCGCAGGCCCTTCTCTTTTTCAAGTCGATGGTCAAGTCGGACGGAGAGTTTAGCCCGGACGTGGTGACGTACACTACTCTGGTGAATGCTCTGATCGAAGCCGGAAGAGTCGACCAAGCGGTGGATTACTTCCAGCAGATGACAGGCTCGGGCTGTGCTCCAGACTACGTTGCCTACAACACGCTCATGAATGGGCTGAGAAAGCAAGGGAGGCACATCCAGGCTGACAGGCTCACACAGGCCATGAAGGAGAAGGGGTTCTTGTCGGATTGCTTCAAGGCGCCGCTCAGAGCCTAAGGTAGCTGTCAGCACCCCTTTGCAACTTCCGCGACAAGTAAGTACATAGATTCACAGCTTTTCAGACCAGACTTTTGATGACTCTTGTTTTTTTCTCGTTTGACTCAGGACGACTTCCATTGCTTGCATGCCTGTGATCCATCTTATTGTCTTGAGTTTATCGATCCATCTTGGAGAAAAAAAAGGGGGGAAGGGGGTGACCTTCTTCTTCTCAAACGTTCGTTAGTTGACAATGCATGCTACAACTTCCACAAGATCCAGCATAGGATCTGGGTGTCCTGCCTGCTTGAGACGCTCCATTATGTTACACTTGTTAGAGGCGTCCCGTTCTGTCCTGGAAGTAAAAACCACTGTTAGCATCCGACCGGTAAGTGCGAGCTATGTTTTTCTAGAAAGGATTTATCGCTCTCACGCACGGGGTCGGTTGCAGTTGATCGCGGATTTGCTGTTGCAAATACTCCCGGCACTTCTCCAGAGCTTCGCGCATCCAAGCGTGACGGACTTTCTCAATGGCGGTGGCAATTGTGAACTGAAAGAGAACGAGAGAGAGAGAGCTAAGTTTGAGTTCATTCCAAATTCCTCCTCTTCTCTCCAGGCATTTACCCATTGACGACGTCGAGCCTCCTGCTCGGGCCAGGTCTCGAGCTCTTGAGTCACTTCTAATGCAAACATGTATGCCTTGCAGTTGCCTTTGGTGCACACCATGTCGTGGCGTTTGCTCGCAAAGATCCAGTGACCGAGCTCTTCCTGGGAGATTTTAGACAAGAATCGAGTGAGAAACTTCAAGAACATCGTGTACTACTATGAGAACCTTGATCTGGCCTCGAACGCCGGCTTCTTCGGCAGCCTCTCGGCATGCTGCGTCCTCGACAGTCTCATCAAACTCCCAGCCTCCCTGGAAGAAGACGCGAAAGAGAGACGAAAGAGAGACGAACGAGAGACAATGAAACGCGGTGAGGAACCAGACGAGAAAGAAACAGTCGCGTACCTTTGGAAAGACGAGGCCATGGCCATTGAGCGAACTGATCATGAGAATTCGGACATTGTCAACAACAGCGTGGGGAGTGGAGCCTCCTTTCTTGAGCCGATATGGTATGCAGCTAGACAGAAAAAAAAAAGAGGAGATTTCGTTTACGAACTGAAATTCCAGGAGCTCAAATTCAATGCTTCTCACCCAGCGACGAGCCTGTAGCCCTGCTCAAATCTCTGCCGCTGTGGCTCGTCGGTGATTCCCTCCATTGGCGATTCAACCGCGAAGAAATACGAGGAAGGAGAACGCAAAAACAAAGATTGGAAACTTGCGACCGAGGTGAGTAAAACTTCTCAACCGGATTTCTTCATTGAGTCGATAGAGAGAGTTTGTCAAGTTGGAGAGAGGGAGTCGAGAGTGCTGCTGTTCGTTATCACTCTCGGTCAAAAATCTCCGATTTTTGAGACGAAGAGGTCGATGAGTCTGGAGATCATAAACTTGAGCGAAGTTATCTCCTTCTACGCAATGACGGATTTGAGTTAGCTGAAAGAGAAGATGAGAAAGAGAAGAGGGGACAGGGTAAAAGAGAGGGATGGATGAAGAGTCGGTCTCACAGGTTTGGTCTTTTCCTGGGAAAAAGAAGGGAAGGAAAAAGAAAAAATGGAAAATCAATCACTGGCTGAGTCTTTGTTTTATTTTATTTTGATATTTATTTTTTCTTTTTCCTTGGCAGACCACCATTTGCACAGCCGCGATGTTCAGCTTGCAGCAACAGCAGCCTTTTATGAAGAATGAACAACACATGTCAGCCGAAAAAAAAAGGGGAGAAATCAACACACCAGCAACGGTGAGAAAGTAATGAAGAAAAAAACGAGAGAGACTTCGCAAGCTTCTTTTTTTTTCGCAGCGAGGACGATTGGAAGAACTAATAAGATCTGGAGATGAAACGCTCATCAAAGATCAACATCTACACATTAAAGCTCTCCCATGTGCTTGGCATTTGCATTCGTGCAGTGGGAGCATTGCTCCAGCCTTGACCAGATAAGAAAAAAAAAATTTAAAGTTCTAGAATGTGATCTTGGCTTGAAACTTGTAAGTCGACTGCATGAACAGATTGAAGTTCTCAAGATCAAGGAAATCTTCGCTTCCACAAGCACTAGAAAAAAGAGAGAGAAGAAGAAAATGCTAGAGGCCGCCCGCGATGGTGTGTGGTATTTAAAGCCTGCGCGGCTGCTACTTAAAGAAAACGATTTACAAAGTTTTGTAAATTCACAGCGAAGTTATGTGGTAATGCGGCGGCCGCGATGATTGACTGTATCGTATAACCTTCGTTTTTCTTGTCCTTTAAAGGGAGAAAAAAAAAGACTTTTCTATTTTTTTTTTTTTGTTTTTGCTTTGAGAGCCTACAAACATGACAAGTTTGACTACATCTTTGTAGCTACGAACCCCAGCAATTGTCTATTCGCTAGACAAACGATTGATGTCACCGTGCTTGATTTTGGTGCAACGCGATTAAAAACGAGCTGCTTGTCTTTAGTGCCACCGATGTAACGCTCCTCAAATTCCCAAAATCAAATCCATTCGCCCCTCAATTACAAACATGGATCCAATAGACCCATGCAAGACTTAGATTGTCTATAGACCCTGAAATCATAGCTTATCGTACAATTACAGCTACTTTTCTAGATTGTTTCTTCTCTCTTTTGGCTGAGAATCTCCATCCAAAAGGTTCCTTGCAACTCAGCGAAGCACAAAATGCCAGAGATTCTCACGAGCTTTGAACTTCTACTCCTCAAGTTGTTTCGAGGAAGGAAAGATGTTATCACACCTCTCAATTCCTGATGCACTAAAGGCCAAGATACATTTGGCAGCGTGTTGTTTTTACACTAAAAGGAAACTTCCCACTTTGTATAGGCAAGGAGAAGGTTCTAAGTTAACATTTTAAAAAATGTGGTATATTCTCTGTTTTGGGATATTAAGGTTTATAACTTCAAACCTTAAACCATAAACCTATAATACTGTATTAATATTGACTGTGAGAAAACCAGCCTTGAGTTTGCCACCAGTCAATCTCAAGCAATTGATGGCGTAACTCCAGCTTGATCCCAAAGCGCCCACAAAGAAATCAGCCTCGAGAGCCATCACCAAGTTGATAAAGCTGTTGTCAAATGCTGTCTTGGTACCTAGAGATTCCATATATTCGGTCATGTGCATTGTGCCATATTGCCTCCTCACTTCCGTGAAGTAGAACTCCCAGTCTGTGAACTCGTCGGATTCGTCAACCACAGTCTTGATCAAGGCAAGATCATCAAGATTTATTGCAATGCTTGAAGTGAGATTGTTCTTACCTGCATTTCCGTGGAGAGCCACACGCTGTGCAATTCCGGAAACTTTCTTCGCAAAGCGTTGGCGAGGTTCATGTAATCCTTCAAAGGATGGAGGGTCATCTCGTAGCTTTTATCCCCTTGCCTTACATGCACGCTCACGATGGGTCGTGGAACCCACACTTTTGCATCGTCTGGCTGGGATGAATTGAGCTGCCAATCTTTTGTAATAGACAACATGACCTTTTCAGCGGCATTTACTCCGAATGCTCGATGCCTGGCTTGGTTAAGTAAGTTGCATAAGTATTCACTGGGAAAGCGCAGAAGATAGCGATATGCCTGATCATTAACGTGTTTTGGCATAATCAACGAGATTCAATAGTTTAGTTACCTGAGCTCTCCACCATACTCGTTCATTGGTCTCATTGGTGTTTGCAATGAGATTTCCATCAAGCTCTTCTGTTGGTTGCATTTTCTTCCAAGGCTCTCCCCAATGTCTACTGACTATGATTTAGTTTATAGAATTAAAGAGAAATGGAACTTAACTTTGGTACACCAGCCCATGGATCAAAAACATTGTCTGAGCGTTTCAATATCCCTGATTTCCAAGCAGACTCATCTGAATAAAGCTCCAAAACTCTGTGAATGCATTCCTTAGCGGCCTCTGGAGCAAAGTAGCAAGACCACCTCAAGTGATTTGACCCTGCAACATGGATTTAAAAATATCATTGAAAGTGAGAAATTCTAAGTTCAAAAAACCAACCAGTGCATCCCTCATGATCTGCTCCAGAGAAGGGCAGTGTAACAAAAACTCTCCCCTCACTCACAGCTGAGGAAAGAATTGCTGAAAGAAAAACCATCTGAGATCCAACACCAATAGGTGCGGTCTGGCTGTGCCAGTGGGCCAAGAGGAATCTTGCATTGCTGCAGTTTTTGGGGTGTTGATGCAGCCACAAATCCTGCTGGACAAGCCTTGTTAGAGGGAGATTATCGTCATCACCGCCATGAACCTGCTAGATCATATACTTTGTTAATCAAATTCACACTTCCAAAGGGATATACTTGCCCATGGTATGGCTAGAGAAGAATTTGAGGAAATATTGTCATCCACAAGATCTTTCCATAGGTTCCAAGGAGGCAATTCACCATTCTTTCCACGATTGTCCATCTTGGTGTGGAGCTCTTCACATCTTTTGCAGTCTTGAATGTGAGGTGGAAGTAATGCTCTTGGAAGATTTGTGCTGTTGTGACCTCGCTCCAAAACCTTGCTCCATAGATCCACCAGGGCCTTTATCTTTCTTGGAACTCTTCTTCGTGGGTGTGACCATTTCCTGGAGCCAATTCTTCTCTCTAGTTTATGGCCAATAAAAAGGTAAGCAATCAAAACAAGCAAGAGTAGCCAATGCAGCCTGGAGCGAGCTTTGCGAATCTTTATTCTCCATTCCATGGCTCAGTTGAGAAGAATAGACTAGGAGATACTCCTACTCAAAATTTCCCCCATTTACCAAACTTTAGATAGGTGAAAGGTTTGGTTCTATTCCTTTTCAAAAACACGTAGCGCGGGCATTTGCGGTCCAAGATTTTCATTGGAACTCATCGGTCGCCATCGCGAAGGCTTTCATCATGGAATTCACGGAAACTTCGTTGATCGCCGGGAAGATTTCCTGCGCAAGTGTGGGATCTTCGGCGCTGGAATGCGGGGAGAGGAACGAAGTCCACGAGAAAACATTGGTCTTGGGCATCGACTCAAAGGTTAGAACGAGAGGAGGCTGCTCCACGAAACTTTAGACCGCTGTGGCATCTTCCTTCAAGTTAATCTTAGAAGTTCTAGAACATATCTAGTTCTCCTCTGCTAGATCTCAAAACCTTTTCAACCTGATCCTTTCCAACGAACACAGAGATGAGTGAATTCCATGAAATATCATTCCTTTCTGGCATTAGATCAGTCTTGCAAGTTTCCAAATGCCCATTATGGGCATAACTCTAAGTAGTGTCATACAGGAAATTACACTCCAAGAAGGAGATCAATCACAAACTTCTCAGTATCACCATTCTTCTGTAAGTTGAGATCAACTCGCCCATGAAACTAAACTTCTTTCAGGCATCCCGAAACATCTCTCCAGCTTCCAAAACATGCCCATGCAAGCAAGATTTCTGGACTTTTTTGTTTGCAGGTGTCGAACACGCCCTTGATGATGGGTCAAATCTAAATTGTGCAAAAAGCATAAACTTTGTTGACATGGGAATTAAGCTAATCAGATGCAAGGTCTGGTTTGGTGCCAAGTGCTCTCAGTCCGCCATACAAGCTAGCAGCCCGAAACACAAGGTCCAGTGACAAAGATTCCACGAGAAAACATTAGGTGGCCTCAGGCTATCAAACAACTTAGCACCGTCTACGCAGCCACACTTTCCATACATTTGGCTGAGAAGATTCACAAGGAAGAGTCGACTATCACCGACGAGAACGAGTTCCTGGACGATGCAAAGACGCTCTTTTCTGAAAACCCGTCCTCATCTCGATCGCGAGGATCGTCGGAGGAGAGGATCGAGATCCACGCCACGAGATCGGCCTTGCCCCTGGGGGCCTACTGCGGGAATGGAATCGTGCAGCGATCCAAAGAGCTGTTTGATCGATCCCCCCAGCGAGATCCGTGATGTGGACGGCGATCACGCAAGCTTAAGCTCAAGAACAGCAAGAGGATTCTCTCGACAAAGCCTAGCGTGCACTCTCGATGATGCTGGCCGATATAAGGAATCACTGCGAGCTCTACTCGCGATCCAAGACGCTGGAACAAAACGTGATAGCCAGCACGATCGTCAACGCCCGGCACGGCGATTTCCAGGCGTCGCGCAAGCTCTTCGATCCGGCGAGGTGGCCACCGCGTGATCGATGCGCGAGAGGAATCCAGTGTTGTGGACAGTGATGGTCGCGGGGCTCTCGCAGTGTGGCGAGCTCCACCAATCACGGGAAGTTCTTGTGCGATCTCCTACGAAAGATCTCGCGGCTTTCACCTCAGTGATGGGTGGGCGACACGGCCAGCGCGAGAAAGATCGGCAAAGGCCGATCTCGTGGCGTGGATCTCGGTCCTCTCCTCCGGCGATCCTCGCGATCGCTATGCCGGCGAGGATATCCTCTTCTTCCGGGAGATGCTGGGACGGATCGATCTTCCTCAGCTTGATCGCGGGCAGCAGCCACAGTGGGCGGCTCGGCTACGGCCTCGGGATGGAGTTCCAGCGCGACCACGGATCTCTCCGGGGCTCCATCACTACAGCGTGGATTTGCTGGGGCGACGGAGGAGCTGGCTCATGCCCTTTCTCCCAGACGGAATCGCGATTTTAATTAGATCCTCTCCCCCAAGCTTCTCGATGGAAAGAAGCGCTAGATTGGCTATCGCCCTAGGCCGAGCTTACATCCAGCATCCATAGCCAACTAAAGTCAACGAAGAATGGTAAGTCAACAAAAATCAACCAAAAGGCTAATGGTCAACATCGGCCTTTTAAACGGGTTCTTTTAACTGTGGCGCTATTTGAGGGCCCAGGGGGAGAATTAGGGTTCTAAGAGAAAAGGAAGACATGGAGGCTGTGGATGTGGTCGTGCGGCCGATGAAGGAATTCGCCAAGGACAGCCTGCGGCTCGTCAAGCGCTGCCACAAGCCGGATCGCAAAGGTAAGAGAGATCTCGCTCTCTCTCGCGAGAATTAGGGTTTATAGATCTAGATCTCTGATTGGATTGATCGATTCGTGGGCTCTTGCAGAGTATACCAAGGTTGCGCTGAGGACAGCGGCGGGATTCGTAGTGATGGGATTCATCGGATTCTTCGTCAAGCTCATCTTCATCCCGATCAACAACATCATCGTTGGATCGGGCTAGAGAGAGTTTTTTGTAAGGTTTCTGCAAGGAAATTGACCATGGAATTTTTTCCCTCTTTTTCTAGTCTCTCCATATAGCTTTGCCGGTGGATGGTTTCTCGACACCTGGGAGGACACTGGTCACCGCGAGACACGATCGAGCTCGCATATAAATCCCCAATCTGGATAAACTCTCTCTGAGTGGAAGAGGCCTTGGACCCGATCGATCGATCAGTAAGCTCTTCGTGTTCTCGACGCTTTTGGGTTTGTTTTTCCGATCCAGGGGAGGAAGAAGAATCACTCTGGAGGGGATTTTGGAGTGTGGATCGGTGTGATTTTGTGGATTTGTAGCGATGTCTGGAGCGCAGGGAGCTCTTCCCCCGGGATCTTTCACCGACACCACCTACGAGAGCCAGGAGGGCGCCAAGATCCAGGAGCGCGTCGATAGCAAGGAAGACGCCCATGGCATCCCTGTGAAGATGGGCACGGACGAGCAGCACAAGGACGAGGCCGCCGGGCATGGAGGCCCCGTCTTTGGCCAGCCGGACGCCAAGAAGGAAGACGATATCGGGGTCTCGGGCACCGCCTAGAGCGACACGTGGCATGCCACGTTGTCCCGTGTGGATATCCAAGTCAGCAATGTAATTACGTGTTAGGTCAAGTGTGTATAGTCTTAAGTATGAAATGCACTGCTGGTCTTGTGGTAGAATAGTACCCTGCCACGGTACAGACCCGGGTTCGATTCCCGGGCAAATGCTTGGGTTCTTTATTTTGACAATTTTTGAGCTGCTCTGGAGTTCAGTTCAGCTGCATCTGAGTGCTTCAATTTAATGCCTGATTGGAATTTGGAAACATCTTAACTATACTTGAGGAGTCACAGGCGTTCATGAATCGAAGATTTTACCTCATACAATTGTTCTTCCACTCAAATCAAGCAAAGATACATGGATTTCCACTCAACTCAACTCATATCAAGCAAAGATACATGGATTTGCAGCTCTTATGTAGAGGCGTTGGAAAGCTCGCTCGCTCTGTTTAGTTTTTGTTACTACTTCCCTTTTGGACTAAGTATCACTTGACAACAAGCTTTTCATCTGGCAGCATCCGACTTGACTTGAATGTATTGTCGTTGGCATCTGTCAAATAGAAAGTGCCATTTTCTTCACTGATATAGAACGCTGCCTGGGGCTCCAAGTCCCTGACATCCAGATGCAAACCAGTGGGAATTTCATCATTTTCACGGGCCACCATGACAGCAACTCGAAAGTAAGTTTGAGAGGGAAGCTTGATCCTCAAACTTCTAGAAACTTTTGGGGGGACAACTCCCAGCTTCACATCATAGATCATCCTGAACCTGTCACGAAGAACAACAATATAGTCAGTGCCATTGGTGATTTGGACCTTTGTGCTCGCAGCACCCATGTATCCTCTATTGGATAACATCACCGTCTTCGATTACCACTGGAGGCTGGAGAAGGAAAACTTGTTGAGATAAAAACTAGAAGTAGATCAAAGAGACGCTTTGAAGCACCTGTTGTCAGTGTCACTTGGACTGTACAAACACTATCTTACTTGTCCAGTTGTTGTCAACTCGACTTCCTTGTCCGCTGGATTCGACGAGTTTCCCTGGAAAGACACACTAATAGAGTTAGTGAAGAGGAAAAGAGAGAGCTGGAGAGATTTTCTGATCCGCAAGAACCAAAAGTAGCTGGCAAATCCACAGAGCCTAAAGAGTGAACGAGAATCGCGACTTAACAGCATTGGAGCAATCGATCTCTTTCACAACAACAGGCTCGGATATAAGTTCGACCATCAGGAATGCCGCCGTACCCCGATGCTATCAAACAGGTCCTTGGCCTCGTTCACAAGTCCAGCTTTACCACTGTGATCTTCCTTGGAAACCACAAAATAATCGAACTCCATCGATTCAAAGTATTGACAGGCCTCTTTCAAATGACCTGAGTGGCTTAACGCTCTGTAAGAATGCTCTTTTTTGTTCGACTAACACCCTCCAATTGAGAATGTAAAGGAGAGTCTTGGGGCTCTATGTGCATCCTGGGAATATCCCTGAAGCAGCGAAGTCCACAGCACAATGCTTTCGACCGACGCAGCGTCAAAGAGCTTCTTAGCATCGCTTCATGTCCATTTCGGGCATATGAGTGCTCCACAATTGGTGTCAACTCGATTTCCTTCTCTGCTGGATTCGGCCAAAGCCACACTAGTAGAGTTAGCGAAAAGAAAGAGAGAGGGATAGAGCGGGATTTTATCATGAAAGCGTGAACACCAGCCAGCAGAGCCTGTTGCTTCCGAAAAGAGTAAACGAAAATCGCGACTTCACTGCAGCAATGTCCTGGACATCGATCTCTTACAACCGGGTCGCTAATCACTTGACTCGGATATCAGGAATGCCGCCACCGCCACCTTACCCTGATCCTAGCATGCTATCAAAAAGGTTCATTCACAAGTCCAGGTCTACCAAGAACATAAATCATGTCTGAAAACACAAAATAATCAAACTCCATTGAACCAGGCCGGAGTGGCTCAATGTTGTAAGAATGCTCACATAAATGTTACTTAGTCCCGACTAACACCCTCCAAATTGAGAATGTAAAGGAGAGCCTTGGATGCCGCGAATGGGCATATGCTGTGTCTCTGGTGGGCATCAAATTCATTATGATTTGTCAAAACTGTTAGTTAAGGATGGCAAGCATGGCATTCCACGTCACTCCGTAGCAATACGGCATCGATTCCAACAGCTTCCTTGTCGTCAACCAGGCGAGGGTGTGTCATGTTTAACACAATACCCCTGATACAAGATACCAGGTCATCTGGTCATGGAGATTCCCAGCCTTGGCATATGCTGTGAGCAGAATCGTCCACGTACGAGACCAAGTCCGCCTGTGGCATCTCTCTAAGTGTGCTGTCCAAAAATTCTATATTCTGGGGATGGGAATATGCTCTAAGCATCTCATTCCAAGAGACAATGTTCTCTCATTCATTGCATCAACGATCCCTTTTGCCGATGCCAGATGCCCATCCTGGGAATACCCCTGAAGCAGCTAAGTCCACGTGGGCATATGACTGTATCTTATCCGCCACTGTGCCTTGGCACGTGTCTCAAGCACATTGCACGTCTCCTAGCCCACGTTATTCATGCAAGGCCTGTCTAATAGTATAAATACATGTCTTCCTCCACACCATATACATACCACTCTCAGGTTGTAGTTATTTTTGCAGCAGCACAGTTTAGTCCTTGTGTAGCAAATCCCATGGAGAAGGCAGCAAAGATTGCTTTTATTCTCACACTCACTATTGCAATTGCATTTGCTTCACTTGAGTCCACCAATGCTATTGAGATAGCTCCCAACACAAAGTTTGTGCCAGCTTCTTCTCTTCTCTCATACTTCAGGAGCCTGAAAGAGGTGGAGTGCATGCCGAACTCTCAATGCTGCCCCGAATCCAAGCCCTGCCCATCAGAGGGCCAGGAGTGTAAGGTCTGTGCCTACACTTATCCTGCACTGTGCTTCTGCACAGACAAACCTGGGATTAACAAGCTGATGCTGTAATCTGGAGGTATGCATAACTTATCTCGTGTTTCTTTATACTCAGCTCTAAGCATTTGTGTGTCCCAGAAGATGGGCGACTTGATCTACCTATGTTATATGAAGAATGGAGTAACAAATGTCTTCATGTGCTAAAACTATGCGGTTTTGTGCATTTTCCGCTTTGCAATTGGTCCATTAGTGGCTGTTTCTTTGATAGCCACGACATGTACTGTTCAATTCGCTACTGGTAATAATAAAAAACTCTCAAGCTTGTTTGAAAATAAAGATGTGTCAGTCTCAATGGTGACGTGTTAGTACGGCATTGTGACGTGTCTGTACGGTCTGGGTCTAAGGTTTTGGATCTTTTGGCTATGCCTTCTAGGGTTTTACAGGCCGGTAAGGATGGAGAGCGTGAGAGGCGGCGCGCCCGTCGACAAGGCGGTGGATTTCGCGAATTACTTCTGCACCTACTCGTATCTCTATCACCAGAAGGATATGCTGTCGGATCGGGTGAGAATGGATGCCTATCACTCGGCCGTGTTTAAGAACAAGCGCCATTTCCAGGGAAAGGTAGGAGATCTCTCTTCTTACTCTTCGCATTCTAGTGTTTCGATGGATGGTTTTGGATCGAGCAGACTGTCTTGGACGTGGGGACTGGGAGTGGGATTTTGGCGATTTGGTCGGCGCAAGCCGGTGCTAAGAAGGTGTACGCGGTGGAAGCTACAAACATGGCTCGCCACGCGCGGAGCTTGGCGAGCGCGAATGGAGTGGGCCACATTGTGGAAGTGATCGAGGGGTCGATTGAGGAGGTTTCCATTCCCGAGAAAGGTGAGTGTTGTTTTCTTTTCCCTTGCGTTTTTCTTTCCTTCTCGTCTGTGTTTCTTCGTCTCTTTGCTGAAGAGACTCTGTGTGTGTGTGTGTGTGTGTGTGTGTGTATGTGTGTGTGTGTTATGCGATGCGACTATATACCAGGGCTGTTTTGTGACTTTCGTGAGCATTGTACACTGGCTCACTCAAAATCTTTTTTGTTGCTCAGGTATCCCAGCCATGCTCGTATGTGGTTTGCTCCCATAAAGACCAAACTCGTAGAGCAAAAGAATCAAGAGTATCAGAAATCACTGGCGGATTGGAGCTACTTTGCTCAAGAGCTAAACGAGGCGTATGGTGTTGATATGAGCACCCTGACAATGCCATATCACGAGGAGCAAAAACAATACTACTTACAGGTAAAATGTCTCTCTTTTTCTCTAGACTACCTAGCTAAAAACGATGTCTTTGTTTCACTTCCAGACGTCCTTATGGTCGAACTTATATCCGGGTCAAGTGATTTCCACTCAACTCAACTCATATCAAGCAAAGATACATGGATTTGCAACTCTTATGTAGAGGCGTTGGAAAGCTCGCTCGCTCTGTTTAGTTTTTGTTACTACTTCCCTTTTGGACTAAGTATCACTTGACAACAAGCTTTTCATCTGGCAGCATCCGACTTGACTTGAATGTATGGTCGTTGGCATCTGTCAAATAGAAAGTGCCGTTTTCTTCACTGATATAGAACGCTGCCTGGGGCTCCAAGTCCCTGACATCCAGATGCAAACCAGTGGGAATTTCATCATTTTCACGGGCCACCATGACAGCAACTCGAAAGTAAGTTCGAGAGGGAAGCTTGATCCTCAAACTTCTAGAAACTTTTGGGGGGACAACTCCCAGCTTCACACCATAGATCATCCTGAACCTGTCACGAAGAACAACAATATAGTCAGTGCCATTGGTGATTTGGACCTTTGTGCTCGCAGCACCCATGTATCCTCTATTCTTCCTTCTGTTTACCCACGAAGACTTTATTACATTTGAACCCTAATGGATTGTTTTATATTCATTCTCTTTGATTACTTATAATTCATCACAATTCTTCAGAAGTTCACACTCTTATGAATAGAATCTACCTACCCTTTAGATCTAAATTGGATTGTTAAATACTAATTTTAACATATGGTATGATTCCCCCAATTAAAAAATAGAATTATGTTTTATGTGTTAGTCCCATTTCGGTTCTATATGCTATTTATGGTAAATGCCTAAATCTGCTAGTAGGGCATATTTACAAAATGTAAAGAATGTCATGAACACCATGATGTTATTCCTACATCCCAATTCATGATCTAACATTATTCTATATTTAATAAGTTTTCAAATTTATTCAAAAGACTAACTTTTAGGACTACGATGAAAGCCTAGATCTCTCATATAAAGTGGAGGTAAAACATGTGAAGCTAAGTGATACCTCATAATATTATGTTAGTTGAAAAGTCATTAAGGGTAGTTAGGGTAAGTGCATACATAAGTCTTACAAAATTTTGATAAAATGTTGGCCACAACATATCTAATTTGATCTATGATAACATATTCAACTCCACAAAAAGTAAAAAGGCTTCAAAAGTAAATACTAAATTGCATAATTAACTTAGATGGATTTTGATAAGACAATATAATTGGTAAAAAGCAACATCATAATCATGTAAGAAACCACAGAATGTCTTTGAGAAACAATTAATAAAAGTTCAAATATAAAGGGAAAGGTACATGAATAAAAGTGCATCTTCTTTTCCAATCAATTAAGGATATTAGGATATTTGAGGTTAAATGTCTTTAGGCTTACTGAGTTGGGTGACCTCTTATGATTAAATTTAGAAACTTACAAGTTGTTAATATGTTTAAATATGCACTTTAAAATGTTTAAGAAGACACTTCAATCTACACATGAGGATTTGGAATCAAAAGTAGTTAAAGTAGATTTTTTGGTGAAAGAGTTAATGAAGATTTTATTAATTCTTCAACCTTTCTCCACACTATTATGAGGTTGTTATATTTGAAAATGTTAGGTAAAGAAATCAATGAAAATCTCATTAATTCTTTAGCCTTTCTTCACATTGTCATGAGGTTGTTGTGTTTGAAGCTAGTGGCTTATAATATGCCATTTTTACATGCTTTGTGTTTTGAGATAAAGAGAGAAAAAGGGATTTCCACTAACTCTTAATTTTTATAATTTTTAAATAAGTAACACTTAAAGAAAGAACATTGCAAAACTCAAAATCTGGCTAGATGTAAGGATTAATAGTAAGAATAGAAGAAGCTACACCATGTGTCATTAATAACATCATTAACTAAGTTTGATTATTCAATTGCAATCATATAGCATCAAACAGTGGCACCATTGCTATTCTAGAGTAAGAGAAGGAGAAGACTGTTGCAAAGGATTGAACTGAAAAAAGTTATAGAAACAAAAAAGATTTAAACAATGCAAAATCTAGATAAAAATATTATTTATCTCCAACTTTTCACAACCACATTTAAATCTCTTCCAACAACTCAAAAGCTTTCCTTGGTAAAGGTGCTTACAGAGAATCTAAGAGGTAGAGCTCCTGGATGAGAGGCAAACATGAGTTTGAGTCACAGATGCTAAAGCCCCTCAAGCTTGCAGCAGCCCTCCACTGTCCACCTTGAAACCTTGCTTCCATTGTACAATTCATTGACAATCAACTCTTTTGATCCTTCAGAGAGAAAACTTCTTGTCCACAGCGTTTACAATTACACCTTAATCGAAGGGAAATACATTTAACCGTGAAACGGTGATTCTTCTCCATTGGCGCTGGGAGCTGGGGTGTTGGAGCGCGAGCTCCTCTTCGTGGGAACCAGCGTTGACCTCTCGGCGTCAAATCCCTCCTCGTCCATTTCCTCCTCACTGTCCTTAAACACTGGATGCATATATGAGTTTTGGAGATATGTCTTAATGTTCCAGTTTGGATGTGTAGCTCTGTCGACAATGTCCTTCGACATTGCCTCCTGCAAAGCAAGAAAAGAAACAATGAGATTTGCTAGATACGCGGAAGAGCAAAACAACTTTCACTTACTTCTAGTGGATACTTTCGGAACGCCGGCTCGAAGCGATTCTTGCAGTAGTAGTGGAAAACTATCGTCATGATCGGGAGACCAATAAGTAGAGGAGTGGAGGCGGCGGCTCTCTTCCCGGCGAAAACTCCAAACAGTGTAATTTGCTCGACGAGCAGTGAGACGATGATCCGGTTGTGGATATGCGGCCAGAAGGCTGCTGCACTCTCGTACTCGGGGTCGTACACGTTGATCACCTACAAATATAAAGAACAAAGAAAGAAAAAGGCGAGAAAGCGTTAAAACGTTTTTACCACCATCTGTAAAAGAAAATGTACCTGATGTCGATAGACCACGTACGCGAATGCCAAGTACACGATTATAAACGGGAGAATGAATGGTGTGATAATAGAATAGACGGTTCCAAGTAAGAAATAGAGTTCTAGCTGAGGGAAGACAGTGTCAAAGCCTGCACTCCCTGGACTCATTGCGTTCTCTCGGTCTTTGTCAGTTTTAACCAGGAACATGTTTTTCAAGTGATAAACGATCAGCGGCTTTATACGCATGATGTCTGCTGCAATGCTGGCCCAGCCGTCAACCATGATATATGTGATGAAGAATGTTGCTTTTTGCGGGATACTCCCAGCTAAGATCACAGGAATCCTGTTGTCAAAGTTCTGGTCAGTCACGAGCCACCCGCTGGTAGAGACTTACTGGCTTGGAGACTGCTGGAAGAAGGTTTTAAGTTGCTCAAACGCTGCTCCAGCGATCACACTGGCAAAGAAAACGTTGACGACCATAAAGTAGTAGTACTTTGCTGATGTAGATACTTCGAGCTGCGACAAAGCCAGATGGCCTTCTATCTTGGACATGAACATCAAAAGCTTTGGAAGGAAGTGTAGAAACAGCTTGAGTGCCAGACCGGGAAGGAAACCTTGGAGGAACGACTTGATGAACTTCCTGGAAATCACGGATCAGCGTCTTTTTCCCGAAAACCACGGATGAGATTCAAGAACTTACGCTTCAATGATTGGCCTCAGGAACGTTAGCTTCTTCTCAATACCTTCCAGGTTGGCCAACGACTGCACAAATGTCACGGGAATAATGTAGAAAAAGATGAGCAGGAAAACCGCTCCGGTTATGAACAGCTTTCTCATGGTGAGCTGTAGATACGGAACCGAAAGATTTCGCCAGTATACGTCTCGAGGCTCAGGAGCCCACTCCGTCAGCCATACTGTGGGATCCCTGGTTTGCTGTGTCTGTGCGCAGACTGCCGCTCCCCATCTTGACCTGAAAGATACAAAAGCTACAGGAAGCTTTGAACTGTCGTCGTTGAGAACACGTTCACGCTCTGCTGCAGCCTGCAAAGAATAATAATCACCTCGAAGTGTTCGTAAATAACAAGTAAAAGAGTTACCTCCTTCGAGATCTGATTTATACCGTCGGTATAGTATTGGATTGCATCAACTTTCTGTCCCCACAGACCCCATAAGCCAGTCTGTATTACACCAAGTTATTTTAAACAGAACTCAATATCAAACAGTGAGCATACCTTGGTCATAGGCCGCTCCGTGTTTTTTCTTTGGAACTGTAGCTGGTAATAGTCCAGCCAGTTTTGCAGCCCCTCTCTCTTCTTGACTAGCTTTGCTAGCTTGTTTGCATTATAGATAACCTTTAAAAACTCAATACAGTTAGCATTTCAAAACCAAGGCAGGAGAGTTTCATTTTATCACCTGATTGCAGAGATAGTAGTCAGGATGATTCACGCGGAAGAAATGATCGATATGCGTGCTAATGGGTTCGTCCGGATCCAAAGGCACTTGCCGAACAAGTACCTACAAACAACGGTAGAGTCAGACCTGGAATCTCAAAACAGAAAACATTACTGACAGTGAATTGGTCAGGGCGGCGGGCTTCGGCGGCAAGGAATTGGAAACGCATACGTGCCACCGTCTTATACTCCGTGAAGAGCATAAAACACGTCCATGCCGTAAATACATATGTCATAACAACGTGCGCCCACAGCCTTGAGAAAACAAGATAAAAAACAAGAACGTTTCAAACCTCAACACATGGAAAGAGAAACATTTCACAATGTCAAACCTTGGGGATTTCTCCCTGATGTTGGTGAGTGAGATTTTATCGATGTCGGTACCGAAAATTTTGCCAGTTTGGATGTTTGAGTCGGTCACGTTCACAGGGACCAGCACCAAAAACCCGAGTAACATCAAAGGGACGAAGACCTTAAGCCTGTAAAGGAACGGCACACAAAACGAAAAAATGGGAACAAAGTTCCGTGAGAACACAGCCAAAGAATGGCACACATTGTAAACAAAAAAAAAGAAGAAAACTTTACCCGAGAAGGTATATCCTGAGGTAGACAACGGAATCAAGCCCAGCGTGAGCGATGAGCTCCCCTTCCGGCATTCGCAGAGCGTCCCTCATCCAATCCAAGAAATGTAGATAAGATTTGTAGTTCAAGTTCACGAACCGGAGCAAAGATCCTCGCTCGTCGCTCCTGGAGCTGCCCTGGCGGACTCCCTTGAGGTACCATTTGGGATAGTAAACCCTGGCGTTGGCCGGCTGGAGCTTGAGGAACGCGAAGACGAGGAGGAAGATAAAGGCCGAGATGATGTTGATGGCCGCCGCCACGCCCAGATCCTGTAGCGTGGCCATTCAGCCCCGGAAATCTCTCGAAATATCGTGCTAGCAGCCCCTGGCCGTCGAGAATCCGAGAAAAATCACTGGAAATCGGAGGCACTACATGATGATCGCGGCAGCCATACCCTGTTCCACCACAATGCGCTCGAGATCAGCACTGAATGGCGCTCATTCCAGCGATGTCAGGCGTGAGAGACACTCAAGAATCGATAGCTGCCGCGCCAACACTCTAGCGGATTAGATTACCTCGAGAAGAAGCCGCATTTTCTTTCTACCTAGTTTGGCCGCAAACCGCCATAGCTCTCTTCCAGAGAAGAACTTTGTGTGTAAGTGTGTCCACTATAGAGAAGCCGAAAGGACAATGGATTGGAATAAAAGATTTACTATAAGCCTCGCTCTTTTGAAGGCCAGCCAGGCTGGATCACACGAGGTAAAAACTACGTTACACAATGTCCCAAGATTCTCTTCGTTAGTAGTATATTCTCATATCCTCTGTCAAGTAAGCGGAAAAAAGAGAACATTCTGTTAGGGCTTTGTTATTTAAACAGTGGCGATGGCGGCATTGAGCGGCTTGGCGCTTGCTTCCCCCATTGCGGCGCCGCACCAGGGGTTTCTGTCTTGCGCGAGGCCAGGATCAGCGGCGCTGCTCCATCGGCGTGCTGAATGTCTTGCGCTCTCGCGTCGGGCGATTCCGGCGGTGAATGCCGCGATTTCGATGAGCGCTAGGGTAAATGCCGGCGCGGAGGTCAGCGTCCAGGACTTTCTCGAGGAAGCGAGAGAACTCGGAAAGGTATGGCTGTCGCTGTTTGATTTTGGCCCACTAGAATCTGCCCATGACGACAAAAAAGATCTCTCTTGATGATCTATCCTGATAATCTAGCTCTAGCGATGGAGCTAACAAAGTCCTTTACTGAGGCTGATCCTTTGATTCTCTTTTTCTTGGGGATCAGCGATGTTGTTTTCTAAAAGCTCTCTTTTTTTCGTGATTGTAGGTCCACCTTTACATTAATACACACACTGGGCAGTGGAAAACGAGGACCCCGATGGAGATGTTTCGCTACAGCGACGCCGAAGAGGACGCCTGGGACGCTTGCCTGGTACACGACGATGGCAAGCAAGAAATGACCATGTACGTCAGGAGAGTTGCGACGGCGTCGTTTAAGCAAGACAAAGTTTTGGGAGTTCCATACTACATCATCCAGTTCATATCACTGCGAGGTATATCGTTCTCCCTGACGCTAATGGCAGATCCCAAGACTCAAGAATACGAGGCTAGCCAGCTCAAGGCTTACAACACGCTGCTCAAGAAATATGGACCCGATGTCAAGTTTTCCAACAAGCTCCATCCAAACTAAGGAGTCATCAGCCAGAGAGCTTCGTTTTCTCGAGGCTAGAACCCGCAGGACGTGAAGTTTTTCTTACTGGTGTGGAAGTAGCACTCGGAAGCAGCGGGGACGCAACGTGAAATCCAGGTACACTTGCATCCAAGTCGTCCTCCATTGATGCACTCGACGTATGCTCCTGTAGGTATACATTTTGGCCGGATAGAGCAAACTACAGCAAGCGGAGAAAATCTCTAGCCAACTCAAAAGTGAGTGTTTGCTACTTACAGTCTCTTAACTGGTCCGTCCCTGCTAGCTTCCGGTTCTGGATCGAAGTTTTATCAACAGAGATCGCGTGGTTTTCGATACTCACCGGCCGCTCCTCTCGGTAATTGTTTGTTCTTTCAAAGTGATCTAGAAACCAGATCTTTGCCGTGGTGTCTGGGAAGAACACGAAGCAAATCGAGTAAGATAATTGGAAAACTAAAAAAGAGAGAACCTGCGACTAGCAGCGTAAGGATCGACAGCACAAACAAAGGTTTAAAGATCGCCATAGCTGCTGGGATTTGAGTCGTAAAGTCACCATATAAATGGGATGGACTACAAATGGTTTGTTTTATACCAGGAAGAGATTTCACGTGACACCACGAGAAGAACTTGAAAAAATAATAATAACCAATTGGGAGTGACGGCTGTGGGATTTGAACCCACGCCCTTTCGGATTGGAGCCTAAATCCAACGCCTTAGACCACTCGGCCAAACCGTCAGCTTGTGCTAAGAAAGCAAGCATTACGTAGATGACTTTGATAAATGCAGAGTAAATGTTTCCTACCTGTATTAATTGGCCTCATCGGACGCTCTCTGTTGAGCCACGTCATTTTACTTTTAGTGTGCGTGTCATGCCTGGATGACGTTGGATCTCACTTGCTTGTTTTTCGTTCTCGAGAGGGAAAGAGAGGTGAGGCGCGGCAAGGCGGCTTCCATCCACAGCGCGATTTCTTCCCTCGGTGCGCCATTCTTTGTGTAGATTCCACCTCCGGCAATGCTCAGTTCAATGCACTGGCAGATTCTTGGAAAGCTATTGGCAGCATTGGCAGCGGCGCTCGAGGATTTCTAGGTTTCGCGGCGCGCTCGCGGCGATTGTATGGCGCGGTGCTTGCTGTGGCGGCAGCTGCTGCTGCCGGCCATTGTGATTTCGATCGCGCTCGCGAGTCCCGCTCTCACAGGTAAGAAATCTAAGCTACATTTCGTGAATATTTCACCGATTGGTTTCCCGATGCGGCTAGATGGAGCGCAATCGCAAGGAATCGCACAGGTAGAGTACTAAATTATAGTATGATCTGTGTGTTTGCCTTGTGTTCTTCCTTGGATTTCTCGCTTTTCTCCGCCTGGATTGACTGGATTTCTTGCTCGCGTCGCATGCTATATTCTAATAGTTCTTAAGCTTTGTTTAGAATTGCTGGGCTTTCACGCCATAAAGAGGTTGCGCTGTTGGTCAGAGGTAGCTAGGAGATGTTACATGCTTTTATTCGTTTGCTTTCTCTCTTTCTTTTGTATTTTTTCCTATCGATTGACACAGGTGTTTAGCTATGATCTCTGTTGTTGTTGGTTGACTGTGTCTCGCATTAAAAAACCACCCATTTTTTGTCACTCACACTTTCTCGTTTTCGATCTTTTCTCTTTGTTCTCTGCAGTGCGAGTCTAGCTCTAGCCAAATTCCGCTAGCTTCCAATCAAAGTGCCCCGGGTGATACGTTTCCAGCGTCAGGCATTCGTTATGAGGCTTTCAATAACAGCAGTGCCAGGAGGAGGAGGCTGGGAGATTTTCGTGAGTGCGCGCCATGTACGTGCTGCACGGACCAGACAAGGAAGTATTGCTTTCTAACAGGATGCTGTTACAACATCAATTGCTCGCTGAGAAGGGTCCCATTCGGCCTTTGCTCCTTCACTCCGGTTTCCTGCAACTGCTTCGGCTGCTCGTGAAGATCATCCGCTATAATCTCGACGATCGCGTCAATCAGGTCTGATAGACAAAGGTGAAGAAGAAAAGCTTGCTGTATATGTTTCTTCTAAGTAGAGTTCTTGAGTTTTTATTTTATTTTTTATGTTGGCTCTCTCTCTCTGTTTGAAAGCTGCTTTGCAGATCGGTGCCGATCTAAGTCTCGCTTTACAGAAGAAAAAAAAAGAAGAGAAAAGAGAGATAAAGTACCGTTTCCATCAAACGATCAAAGTTGTGTGAACTTGCGTTGCTGCCGAAGGTCTGGTTTTTGTTGCTTTTTAGATTCATCGAGTTTCTTCCTTTTCTCTAATCCGGGAAGCTTCCTAAGCGGCTTAAACTAATCCCAGATCTATTCATCGTGCTTCTACAGTCGGGCTCGCGAGTTTCCACCGATGTAGATCGATCGCCCAAGTCAAGATGCGTCAGCCTTTGCCAGAGCTCCGGTTTGAATTGTATCGGTCGACTCGGTCGATTGAGATCACAGTGGAAACTTCTCCATTTTCACTGCTCCAAGGCGTGCATCTTTTGACAAAGCCGGTCGCTACCGTGCGCCAAAGAAATTATAGCGTCCAACACGATGCTACGCTACGAATCTTTTCTTTGTTTCTGAGATATTCCCATGTCAGTGTGCTTGCTTCCTTTGTCTTCAAAGACACCGCTGTGGCTTTTGCTCTTTCATCCTTTTAATTCTTTCCTCGAATTTTTGCTCTACGTAAACTTTGCTTGCATCTTTGTCTGATCAGTGGGGTGTGCATTGGCGAGCACAGGAGAATTTAAAATCTAGAATATTATAGACCGAATCAAAACACATGGTGGCACTTAATGCCTTACAAAAATGTCAAACCAATGCACGATCTAAAACATTGTGTGGTGGTACGGTGGTGCTTAGAAAAAATAACATTTTTATTTCATATTATTTCATTTGAATAATTCTCGAAAATTACCATGGCTCTTGAATGCGTTGGCTTTTTAGTGTGTTGCTGACCAAGTTACAATTTATATCTATTTTTTTACAACAACAATAAGTCAAACACATAAAGTCAACCGTAAATAAAGAAAACAAAATAGAATTATAAAAATAAAAGAGGTGTGAAAGCTGCGAGCGTCGTGAAATGATCTCGTCTGTTTTGTCTGCCCGACGGTGGCCAAAGTCTGAGCGAAACTTCCAAAATTTTCAACCTTGTGTCACATGCCCGCCATGTTCTGGCCTCCGTACGAGGGGTCTCGCAGGAAAAGGCTCTCAGGCTCTCTGTACGGCCCCGTGATCTCGATCAACGCAAAGAACACGCGCGGGGGCGGCGGGGGAAAAACTATACCACCTGTGACGCGAGGCTTTCCACCAGAAAACCAAAATATCAAGTTTTTTCTTTTTCGCGCTTTGGTAACGGTAGCAACTAATCCTGAAATCTCGATGGGCGATTTGCTTTGATCATGCCACAGTTATTGACATGCAAATTTGTCTCTCTATCGTTTTTATATATGTTTTCCGAGCAAAAAAGGAAAAAAAAATCACAGAGGAAAAGTAAAAGGAGACAATCAAACAGCAAACAGCAGCGAGCTTTAAACGTAACATGTTCGTTGCTTGCGAAACACGGGGGAAAAGATTTCCAATATATAAGTTTGCAACCTTGGCTGATCGATCCAACTCTTTCCAATCGCTCGCTCGTTTCTTCTTCCTCTTCCATCTCCGAGAAGATCTCTCCATATCATCAATGCTCCTCCTCCTTTGACTCGATCGATCAGCCCGATCGATCAAAAGCATATCTTTTTCTGTGCCAGAAGATCGATCATGGGAAAGAAGAATGCTCGATCGCTCACTTGCATTGCCTCGCTCGCCTGCATTTTCATCTCTCTCTCGCGAAGTGCGTCGGCGGCAGCGTTTGACTACGGCGATGCTCTGAGCAAAAGCATTCTTTTCTACGAGGCGCAGCGATCCGGGAGGCTCCCCGATCACCAGCGAGTGACATGGAGATCTCACTCGGGCCTGGAAGATGGAAAAGCCTCGGGGGTACGAAAAGCTCTCAAGATTCTACCATCTTTTCTTTGTTCTTCGTTTCATCACCCCTTTGTTCTTCGCAAAGTAGACGATTTCCTCGCATTCTCTCTTAGTTTTCCTTCTCAAAGGTGGAGTTTTCCTTCACTGACTCGCAATCTTTGTTCCAGGTTGATCTCTCGGGAGGTTACTACGATGCCGGCGACAACGTCAAGTTTGGACTCCCCATGGCCTTCACGATCACGATGCTCTCGTGGAGCGTGGTCGAGTATCGCGATCAAATCGCCAAGAGCGGCGAGCTGGGCAACACGCTGGACGCGATCAAGTGGGGCACCGATTACTTCCTCAAATCCCACACAGAGCCCAATGTGCTATGGGGCCAGGTTTGTTCCTCCATCTCTTTTATTCCTCTCCTTCGCGACCTCTCGCCAATGTGGGTTCGTGGATCGCGGCTAGATCTCACAATCCACCAATGTGGGCTCTCTTTTCCATTGCCTAGCGCTCGTGGGTCGTGCTTCGATTCCACGCCCGGAAGCGCCGTGTTCTTGGCTGGACCGTAGTGGGTCTTGTGGTTTTGGCCGCGATCGCGAATCCGAGCTCGTGGGCAGTGAGAGCGAGGAGTGAGAGCTCGATCTTTGCCGCGAATTGTACCACTCATGGGTGGATCTCTAGGTTGGAGAGGGTCAATCGGATCATGCGTGCTGGCAAAGGCCCGAGGACATGACCACGTCCCGCCAGGCCTATCGTTTGGATCCAAGCAGGCCTGGCTCCGATCTAGCGGGAGAGACCGCGGCCGCCATGGCTGCCGCCTCCATGGCTTTCAGGGGATCGCAAGCTTCCTATTCCAATCTCCTCTTAACTCATGCTAAGCAGGTTTGATGAATTCATGGATTTGCTTTCTTCTTTGCTAAAGATCTCTTTTTTCTTTGTTTCCCAGCTCTTCAACTTCGCGGATACGTATAGAGGGAAATACGATAGCAGCATTCCAGTGGCTCAAAAGTTCTACTCTTCCAGGAGTGGCTATGCTGTGAGTTCTTGCTACAAAAAAATCTAGTTTTTGTTCGTCTTTTCTGTGATTTACTTGGAGTTGGATCTCAGGATGAGCTTCTGTGGGCCGCGATCTGGCTGTACAGAGCTACTGGCGAGCAAAAATACCTCGACTACGTAGCGAAAAATGCCGCTGTTCTTGGAGGGACTGGCTGGAGCATCACGGAGTTTAGCTGGGATATAAAGTACGCTGGAGTTCAAGTGCTAGCTTCCAAGGTCAGTTCGTTCCATAAGTTTCCAAGGGAGAAAACTTCGATTTTATTTCTCCTTGGCTGATTTTGGAGAGATTTCTTTCAGGTGCTCTTGGATGGAAAGGCCGGGACTTACAAAAGCGTCCTCGAGCAGTATCAATCCAAGGCCGAGTATTTCCTCTGCGCTTGCCTCCAGCAAAACTCTGGCGCGCAAGTCCAAAGAACTCCAGGTGAAGTTTCAAAGTTCTATCGAAGTTCTTCCTCTCAAACACTTTTTTCTTCACAACTAGGTGGCTTGATGTTCATCAGGCAATGGAATAACATGCAATACGTTACCTCTGCCTCGTTCCTCCTCACTGTCTACTCGGATTATCTCACCTCAACCGGGAATACTCTCCGCTGCAATGGGAGAGCTGTGAATCCATCACAGCTGCTCAACTTAGCTCGATCTCAGGCAAGCGAAGAAAAACAAAAAGCTCTCTTTTTTCTTTTCTCTTCCAAGTATTAAGCGATCGTTTTTCTCTCTCGCTACAGGTGGATTACATTCTGGGTGACAATCCCCGAGCAACGAGCTACTTGGTGGGCTTTGGATTCAACTATCCCCGGCAAGTTCACCACCGCGCTGCATCCATCGTTTCCATCAAGCAAAACCCGAGCTTCGTGGGTTGCAAGGAGGGATACAGTACGTGGTACACGAGAAGGCAAAGGGATCCAAACCTGCTCGTCGGAGCTCTCGTCGGCGGCCCCGATGTGTCGGACAACTTTGCGGATGAGCGAAACAACTGGGAGCAAACAGAGCCAACTACGTACAACAATGGGCCGCTGGTTGGATTGCTCGCGAGGCTCCACAACGGTGGAAGCACAAGGAAAAACGATCAAAATCTCGTCTCACGTAAGAGATCTTCGTGTTTTTCCATCTTGTTTCACTCAAAAATCGATTTTGATGCAACAGTTTCGAAGGCAGCGTCTCCTCTTCCATCGCCATCGTCGCGAAAACAGCCGGGTACTCGTCTTTCCTTTGCAAAGTTTTTTTTTTTTTTTTGGAAGATAGATAGCTCAAGCTTGGAGTTTCCAGGTGATGGTATCTCTATCGATCAGAATGTGACAATGTCGTGGGACTATCGAGGCCAGAGATTCTACCGCTATGGAGTTACTGTAAGCAACAGATCCAAGCAAACTCTGGAGAAGCTCGTGCTCAAGATCCACAAGCTCAGTGGATCTTTGTGGGGGCTCACAAAGTTGTCAGCGAGCGATCACGCTTACACATTCCCGAGCTGGATCAGATCTTTGCCCCCTCGCAGCAGCTTTACCTTCGTCTACGTGCAGCCGGCTCCACTCGCGGAGATCTCCGTGCAAAGTTTTGCTCGAGCTTCTTGACGGGAGGAAAGTTTGTTTTTTTTTATGTTTTGTTTTTGGTGCTTGGTTTTCTTCCTTGGCTCACAAGGGATTGTGCTTGAAGCAACCCTGGGGCTTTCATGCGTTCTTTTTTGCCAACTTTTCAGTCAAAAGTGTCTTTACATACGTAGTGGCTGTCCAAGGGTACGTCTCCATCCTCCGCGACCATCTCGACGAGGTGGAACAGTGAAGGGTGCTGGAGTGATGGCTGGAGCTGGAGATGGAACAGCCCAAGTGCGTTGACGTCTCACCATCTCCTTGGGCCAATCTCTCCAAGGAAATGATGTCTTCGACATCGACTTTGGAGATGTTGGAGATGGAACTGGAGAGGTCGGACATGGAACCGGGGAGGCTGCTAGAGAAGTTGGAGATGGTGCTGGAGAGACTGGAGCAGGAGATGGAGATGGAGTGACTGGACCTGGAGCTGGAGAAAGCGGAGATGGAGAAAATGGAGCTGGAGAGGCTGGAGCTGGAGAGAGTGGAGCTGGAGAGACTGGAGCTGGAGAAGCTGGAGCCGGATAAAGTGGAGATGGAGATGGAGAGGCTGGAGCCGGAGAGAGTGGAGATGGAATTGGAGAGATAGGAGCTGGAGCCGGAGAGACTGGAGCTGGAGCGGGAGAGACTGGAGAGGGAGAGATAGGAGCTGGAGCCAGAGAGAGTGGAGATGGAGATGCAGATACTGGAGCTGGAGCTGGGGAGACTGGAGATGGAGATGGATAGATAGGAGATGGAGCTGGAAAAACTGGAGATGGACTTGGAGCTGGGGTTGGCGATGAATAGCATTTAGAAGGAAAATGGTCTGGAAAGAAGAGAGAAAGTAAGGAGATAACCAGCATTGCATGGAAGAAACTAAGTGTCATCCTGGAAAGTATATTAGAAAAAACAAAAGGAGCCCAATAACCTGAATGACCATGTTTCGAGTCTTCCTTATGTAATCCAATTTTTGTGGCACTCTAATAGCGTGATTGCACGAGGCTGTACACGACTAAATGAGCGTGAGTCCAGTACTGTCAAATATGTGCATCTTACTTGGGAGCTAAAGCAAACCGGATGCGTGATAGAGAGTTTTGATCTCTTCAACGTCTTCAAAGCTTCCAAGGAATATTGGTGACCTCTCATGAATCTTTTTTGGAACAACGTCAAGTGCCTGTAAATCAAGAGACAAAACAAAAGATGTGTGAAAGAAAAGTACAAGTTCTTACGCGCTCTTTTCCAGTGAAAGCTTGTCCGCCTGCTTGTTCTACGAGATATGCCATAGGAAAAACCTCATACAAAAGGCTGGAAATGGCGAGTGATTATCAACAAAAGAAGGACAAGAAACTCTGGAAATGGATAAGTTACCGCAACTTTCCGTTTGGACTTTTTTTATCAGCGGGATACATGAAAATGCCACCGTAGAGTAAAGTCCTGTGGACATCTGCCACCATACTGGTAGAGCAAAAACAGATTAAAGAAACATAGGTACTGAGTTCTGTAAAATGAAAAAGCATACAAACCTTCCGATATATCTAAGAGACTTTGGCACCGAGCCGCCCGTCGGAAACTTTGCAATCTCCACGTATTTTTTTGTTGGTTCGTCCCAGTGCTTAGCATTTCCTTCGTTCACAGAATAAATCTTTCCCTTCCTTGGAACCTATAAGACATTAAGTTAACACTGCAGAACATATAAAACTCACGTACCCGCATTACTGGATGTGTCAGAATAAACTCTCCTAGAGCAGGGTCCAGTGTAAAGCCATGGACGCCATTTCCTATACTCAAAACAAGCTAGAAAAGATTCTCAGCATGCTCGAAACTCAAGCCAAGCGAGAAGAAATAGCTTTTTACCATGCACGAACTTCCATATAAGCAGTATCCAGCGGCAACCATTTCTTTTCCAGGCCGTAAGACATCACTGACAACGCCTGCCTTTCCATCTTTCAGCATATAAATGCCAAAGATCTACGCAAGACAAGCCAAAGTTGAGCAAAACTATCCACCATCTTCTCACCGTTCCAATTGATACGCCGCAATCTATATTGGAGGAGCCATCGAGGGGATCGAAAACTACGCAGTACCTGGAGAGAAAGTGATAATACCAAGAAATGTTTATGAAAAGAGCAAACCTTCCACGCCTTGAAGTTTCAACGTAAATTTCAGTCTCGTTTTCCTCGGACACAAGAACGTTCTAAAACATCCCTAGTCAAAAACCAAGATCTACGAGTTGAAAGAACTTCACTGCTCGACCACTGCTGCACAGTGCCTTGATGAAAACTTCGTTTGAAAGAACATCCAGCTTCTTTTGTTCTTCTCCCTGGAAGCGAGCAATTCTTAAGCTTTGCCTTTCTTCTGATGTCACCAAAAGAGAGAAGAAAGAAAAATAGTACCTGTATGTTTGTGTCTCCAGCAAGTCCAATGAGCTTTGCAAGACCAGCCTAAAGCGCACAAATTGAGGAATAAGAACTGGGACAAACAATTCGAGACAGGAATACTTTGTTAACAGCGGCACAGACGAATTTGCAGCCAAGAACAATGTGGCTGAGGAGAATCGTGAGATCGCCTCGCGCTTCCGGATGCTTGCTCTGCTCGTTGAGCACAAACCTCGTAAGCGTCATAAGATCTGTGCGCTGTGCATCGGCGGCATGATCCATCGCAGCAAATAAACAACAAAACAAGAATCCACCGCGCAAGAACCCTATTTCCTTCCAAAGCTAGCTACATTTTGCTGACAGTGTCGTGACACGTGGCACCCTCGCATTGCATTGGCTGTTTAGTCTAAATAAAAAGATTAATTATATCTAAGCAAGTTTAACTTTAATACAAACAACTGTACAAGATAGTCTTGATCACAAGTACCACAAGTCAGTTTAATTACATAGAATTTCATGTACATCAGCAGAAGAAATAACGGGAAAAACGAAAAATCTGTCAAAACCACTCACTTCTTTGTACACTAGAAAGCAAAAAAAAAAAGGATTGTTCTCTCAATTCTCTCTCTGGCAAAGTTCCGGCCAAAATTTTTTCTCGCCGAGCACAGCACGATGGTCTTTGATTGTGCTGCTTCTCAATCTGGATGATCTCTCTCACTGCCTGTTCCTGCCCGGAAGGAAGCAAGGAAAAACAAAGCAAAAAACAAACTGGAAGAAGAAAAATGGAAGTGAAAAAAAAGAGGAAGAAAAAAACAGCTTCTCACACCTCTCGACCAGGACACACACCTGTATAAGTAGTCGATGGAGTTTCGGCGACGATCGATCCGAAAGAATTGTTTTCGCTCAAGCGATGGCTGAGACGATGTCCGCACCAGTGGAAGCAAAACCTTCCACTCGGATGCAGGGGCTGGATCCACGAGAAGCCTCTCGAGCGTGAGCAGTCTGCTGTGAACGGCCTCCTGTTGATGGTGTTGTTGACGACGGAGTTATGGCGGGCGGTGGCCTTTGGCGACCAAACTGTACATCGCGAACCAGGGGATTGCCTGCTCGCGTCGGTGGTGAGCCGGAAAAATAAGGTGGAGAGCAACCAAAGTTCGATGGCTCGCCATAGCTACTCTGTAAACGAGCACGGCGCTGGTTAGAAACAAAACGCTGGAAGAAGCTTTAGTAGCGGAAAAGACTCCGAAGAAACCGAAGACTCAAAAATGTCATGAAAGCTTCAGAAAATGAAAGACGAAAGAACTTGACATGGTATGAGAAGCAAAAATGCTTTCACATTAACATGCTCTCAAATTCATGAATTTGGTTGTCTAAGAGCAAGAGAACAAGAAAAAAACGGAACTTTCAGCGATCAACCAAAAGTTTTAGTAGCGGAAAAGACTCGGCATACGAAGAAATCGAAGACTCATGAAAACCGAGCTTAGGAAAATGAAAGCCGGCAGTGGAGAAAAACTTGACAGAAGGAAACATGCTTTCAAATCTGTGAATTTGTTCGTCTAAGAGCAAGAGAACAAGAAAAAAAAACAGAAACTTTCAGCGATCAAGAGAAGGAAGAACAGACTTACGAACAAAGAAGAAGAAGAGGAAGAAATCAAGTACCTTACTCAAAAAAATGTCCAGGATTTCGAATCCCGCGTCACTACTACGAGGTGTTGAGCTGGATCAAGGAAAACAGAAAGAACTGAGTAAGAAAGAACAAAGAAAACACAAGAAGTCTTACCTCTTTTGCCGACGACCCGAGTTACAAGGACGGCGAGGCTTTGGACAAAAGACCTCGTCTTCCAGCTTGTCTACAAAAATTCCTGGTCTAAACCTCCTCCTTTCGTTAGTCTCCATGCTACTGAGCGCCGCCAAGGGCTGTTGGACAGTGCTAAGATTTCTTGCGCAGATTTCCATGCTCGCCACGAGAAAATCGCCTGCAAAGAACCGAGACAAAACAGGTTTTGAGATGAGCAAGACGGCAAGATCGATGAGAATTTCTAATTGCTAGCGAGCAACAGCCAAAATCCACAACAGTGACCACGCAAACACGCCGACAAAGCTCAAACAGGGAGATTTTGGAGGAACCTTTGCAAGAAATCAAGGCCAAAGCAGCGAAATCGACGAGAATGTGCAGTACTCTACCAGATCTGTGATCGCGGAGTGGATGATCGATGAAGCGGCAGCGCCGCGCCCAAGCCCTAGATGCCCTCGCCTCCACACAATGGCAAAAATGGGAGCTACTGCCACCGGATGAGGAGGAATATTCAACTGTTGCGAAGGAAAAAAAAAAAAGAATAACCACTGCACCAATAATGCCGGCCCACAATGCGAGCGAAAAAAACATGCTTTCACTGAGAGTTGAACTCAGGACCTCCCGCTTACTAAACGGGTGCTCTAACCAACTGAGCTATGAAAGCAAGCTGATGAAAGCGGGATCGCAAGAGCTACATTTGTATCAATCTTTCACTTTTTACTGGTAAAAATTCAAGTTTTTAAACAAAAAGCTTGAGTTTTTTTTTTGGTAAAACTCAAAGTTTGTATGAAAAATCAAGTTTTACTAAGCTAAATCTTGACTTTTTATTGATAAAAAATCAATTTTTATACGAAAAATCAAGCTTGGAAATGATATATAAGAATCGACCGGGAGTAAACTCCTGGTTTTACTTAAATTCGAGGAGATCGAGCTTTCTTACATCGGCAAGAATGTGTGATACGATACAGTGTTCTTCCCACCTGGGAAGCTAAAGAATGAACCAAATCCATAGAGTTATTTTCAGGCCACTTAATCACCTTTCTCTCGCGGATGCAATGAGAAGAGCCACTGCCACCGAGAACATCACCAGCATGGACACTAGTAACGCCAGCGTCCTGTGTGAGCTACCACGGTATTCACCAAAGAGGAGCACTCCCCACAGCGTTCCCACCAGTGGTAACGCCTGGACAGCATCGGCGGCGGCGTATCCTGCTGCCTGTCCTCCCATAAACTGGAAACCATTCCCGAAACCACACACCAATCCTGCCAGGATCGCCAGCTCCCGGCCTTTCCAGTCCGAGAGGTAGGCCGAGAGTGAGGACTTAGGTAGGCCGAGCACCGGATAGTAGAGCAAGTAGACGTTGATGAGCACTCCGAGCACCAGGAATGCCGTGGAGAAGTAGAAGAAACTTGTGTAGATTACCAGGTGTGGGACTTGAGGATTGAGCAAGTGGAACTGATCGTTGGTGGCGATGTTGAACAGCGGCGAGAAGAAGCCGTAGCACATCCCGGTGATGAAGGCCAGGACGAGTCCAAACATGACGCTGGAATCTCTGACCTTGATGAAGGGAAAAAATCCATTTTGATCAAGTTTGACAGTTTTAGAAGTCATAGTACATACCTTCACTGCTCTTTGCTCTTCCAAGTCCATAAAAGAGCTTGATGTTTCTGTCGCAATGAGGTCCACCAGAGCTGAATCAAATTAACATGCTAGATATCGTTATCAAAATCGAAATAGTAAGAACGAGAAAAGCTTACAGCTCTTTAGAAGGTTCGTGTGAAGATCTTGCTCAGCCTCGCACCTAAAAAGTCCACATACAATATGTAAATGTCGCTTAACTGGAAAGTGACTTTAATCTCACCTGGGATTGCTTGGGCCCAACCTCGCCGTTCTATCATTTGCATTTGATGCGTGACAGAAAGATCCTAGCAGAACAGCGATCACGAAGCACCCAACTCCCGGGAAGAGAACTCTAGCAGAGTTCAAGCAATTGTCCAGATAGTAGTTCGCAGTCGTTCCTAGAAATAAGTCAGTACTTCAATCTTCGAAGAACGCAAGAAAAATAAATCACACATATTTGAAGAACGCAACCAAAAACGTCTTTGATCGAAGAAGACAAGCAAAATAAATCACACAAAACCATCACAGGGAAGAAAAGAAAGTCGATGGAGCTAGCTTACCAAAGATGACTGCCAAGCTCGCGGATATGACTTCCGTGATAGAGATCCCCACGAACACCAGCGAGTATTGCATACAAATATTGCCCAGGCAGAGGGCGATGCCTCCAGCCATAGCTATAAGCACACAAGGAAGATTATCCTGTCGTACATCCTTAGAATTCATGCCGGGAAAGAAAAAGCCATATACCTGAGAGAGCTGCTGGATGAAATTGGGAGCGCTTGGATCGCTATCCCCGATCTGCCCCAGGGTCAACGCAAAGATCACTGCCACCGCGAAGGTGCTGATGGCGTAATCAATGTAGGTGTGCTGTGGCAGCCTTCCTCTCCTCTCGGCGATGTTGAAGAAGATCGGCCAGGTCCCGAGGCACCACAAGGAGCAGAGCATCAGGAGGATTGCCCATCCTCGATCCGTGACGAAATACATCGCCGCAGCGCCGCGCTATCGATCGATGCGAGAAATTCCGATCCCGATTTGTCGATCCTCCTCAATCCTAGAATGCCGATCTCTATACCTCAGCCGCGGCGAGCTAATCTTGCTCGATCTCGCAGCGGCAGCTTCTTGGATCGAAGATTTGGCGCTCGTGGACTAGAAATATTATCGCCATAGCCGAGAGTCCGGAGCAATGAGAGGAGAATTTTCTTAAAGAAATGTTTGCCCTAGGTAGGGGATGATAAACACGTGCTCTCCACGCGCCTAGTATCTTTGTCCGCATATGAGATACCCGCATATTCGTCTGTCTTCTTCCTCTCTCTTTCGATAACGAAGAGCTTGCCCAATCGATCGCTGTTGAGTCGTCGATTAGAGCAAGAATATTCCAAGCACGACGCCGACGCCAAAGACATTGCCATCGTTGTAGGTCGCCTCCGTGTAATCCTCAGTCTCGAGAAGCGTCGCGACTCCATTTGCATGCTCTGCCCCCTCACCACGAGCTTGTACCTCTCGAATTCCAGATCTGGCTGAGAATTGGCCGATTCCCTGGCAATGCCCGGAGACGTCTCTGGAACACACACCAGGCCCCTCAAGTTCTCTGTGAGCACTGCCACGAACGTGTCCCTCAATACGGAACTTCTTCTTTGGCGCGTAGAGAAGAGGGCTTTCGATCAATGACCCGCAGAGGAATCCTGAATGATCACGCAAGAATCAGCTGATCTGGAACGATTGATTTCACCCGTTTCTTCGTGTCGGCGTCTTCGGGGAGTGTCTCCAATGCCGCCATTTTGATCGATTCTTCGCGATTACCAAAGAACCCCCCACGTCAGTCACTACGCGTTCGGCGGTCCTCCACTACTCGCCGATTGAGCTCAACAATCTGGGCGTGGTCAAGGACATCGACGAGAATGTGGGGCTCATCACTGGCTATCCTCCAACGAGCTCCCTCCATGCATGGGTCATCCTCTTCATTCCTCGGATATGGAGTTCTTTGGCTCGTCTAGAGATAAGTTTGCGTTGCAGGTTCTTTCCAGGTTCTTTTCTCATTTCCTGAGGTAAAAATCAGTTTTTTTTTCAAGTGTAGTTTCATTTTCTCGCGTTTCGTTCAGTTGGTCCACAAAAGAGTGTTTTTTGAGCTTGAAAGTCCTTCCTTCTTCTTTTGCTGAGACGTTTCTATACTGTTTTTTTGCAGGTGTGTCTAGCAATTTGCATCAGTGCCACATTCTTCAACACCGCGGTTCTCATCAATGGCAGGCTTCAGTGGTGCCATCTCTAAACGTCTTTCCTCTTTTCAAACCCGGTCTCGTTGTTGCTGCTTCTTTCTACCAGTCCTTTCACCGTGTCCGTGGCTTGCATCGTTCACCCCATAGGGGGCCTGGCGCATTTCCAAGGTTGGGTATGTTGTGGAAAACTATTGGAAGAAGGGCGTGGAGCAAGGCGCCGATCATCGGATCACAATGAGAAAGGTAAATAGAAGAGAGGAGAGAGTGGTCGCCTTGCATAAATGTGAATCTAGAGAGTTGGATAGAATTCAAGCACCTAGGCCATGGTACTTGGAGGCCGTGGGAGAATGCAAGGTAGATCAATTGATAGTGGAAGAATCTGAGGCAAATTGATCAATATTTCAAGAAGAATCAAGCATGAACCAGGGTCTGGGGATGAAGGAGAGAGTGGGGCCAACCAGGCACAAGGGACAGAGTTCTCTTTGTTTTTTCAAGGAGGTTTGGACTGAATGAACTAGTCAGGTGAAGTCTATGTGAAGGTGATAAAAATCAATTTGATGGTGCTGAGGTTTGCTCAATTTGTAGTATGCAAAGGCTAACATGGTGGCATTTGACTACTCTTATTTCAGTTTCTTGAGAAATTTGAGGATATATTGCCACCATTTGCAATGTTTGTGGAGGGAGGGTTTTAAGTCTAATGAGAAAATCTTAAACAAAGACAAGTACAACAGTAAAACAGATTTATAGACTACCAATTTATTGCTCTCTTTGTAAGCATATCTACCCATTTTTCCATAAGGTGGCACCAGAAATCTCTAGATTGGAGACATTTGTTCAATAGAAAGAAGTAATTTCTTGTTGATTTTATGATTTTGCATATTTACTCCTGGACACTTCTTTCAAAATCCCATGTTTGCTAGAACATTTGTTTATGTTTCTTGGAGGTTTATCATTTGTACAGGTGTGATGCCTTTGTCATTTTCTCCTTTGAATGTTTCAACTAAGTTCATTTTCAAGTCTGATATGGCCTTGTATTTTGTTTTTATGTGATGTATACACTATGTTTTAATATATTTCAAAAGGTTTTTACTACCTCAAAAGCAATGACAAACTCTCTTCCATATTAGAAGTGGTAATTTAAGATATGAATTTATCATTTCCAAGCTTTTTTAAGCATGGACATTAAATGTGTATATCAAGTTTTGCTTTTGTTTACTTATTGGTTCTTTCAAAAGTTACAAAGCAAAAGAATATAAGATCCTTATGGTTCCTTCCAATATTTTTGAGTAAAATTATGAATGGAAACTTGAAGTAACATTTGAAAACAGTGAAATAAAATTGATGTGAGAATAAAAATTGAACAATGTTACAATAGTATAAATATAAAATAAGAAATTTTGTAAAATTGTAACATCATATTTTCATTTACAACCACTAAACAAGGTCACATTATAAAGACAACACACAATATATACCACTGCCTTCCATCACTATGTCTCATCATAGATAAACAGAATAATGGTTTGTCTTGTCATAGATAAACAAAATAATGGTTTCCTTAGTTTTGTTCAAATGAAGAATTCTAGTAAATGGTGTGTAGTTAGGGAAGAACACAAGTTCATAAAAATTGTAAGCAAGTTTGGTAATGCTCTTTAGTGCTTGCATTTTATAAGACATGCCACTACCTTCCATCACTATGTCTCATATAAGATCTCTCAAGGTAAATACCACCTTCTTAGCACACTCCTTTTGGACTGTGTTGTCCTTCCAAACTTTGTTTATAATCCCTATGGCATGCCTAGTGGTAGATTGAGATATAAGAGGTCCACAACTATAATCATGATGATTTCATGACTATGAAACAAGCCATGAGGAATTTCCCACTTGGTGGGAATTGCAAAGCACTTTGCCTTGGGCTTGAATACCACTAATTTGGCCATTGAGAGAGGCATCTTCTCCTCATTGACCAGAAGTTGTTTTTTGTTATAATTAGCAAAAATTGTTGTTTATGCCCTTAGAATTTGGTAATCAACCTCCTTCTTGTGAACAATTTTAGCATAATTTTTTTTCATAAGTTCCCAAGTCACCTCAAAGTCATAGAGGTGCTTATTATACACTTACAAAGACAACACATTATAAAAGTTAAGATAAAAAGTGAGAATTATATTCTTATGTGGAGATAAGCCTTAATCCTAATTGCTTTTGCAAATTCATTATTGCTTCTTCTAATCTGGAATTCCCTTCTGTGTGGGCTTAAGTGTTCTTCAAAATCAACTAAATCATAGATGTCCTTTACAGTCAACGTCATTTCTCTCATTCTGCCCTAATTCTTTGATAACTCATTCATGATAGTGGATTGCTAAATTGGTTGTCAAGTGTCTTAAACCTCACTTATAATCTCTATCACATTTTTTACATGTTTGAGAAATGTAACGATGAGAACTATCAATCTTCATATCCAAGGGTGAAATTACGAAGGAAGCGAGTGATCTGGAAGGGAATGAAGTGCAAGAGGAGGAAGAGGAAGAAAATCCCAGGTATTGTTAGGCATTAGCTTTGACCACGTGGTCAACATCGGTCAAAAGAATGTATAAAGGTATATTAAGGCATGTTAGGGCAAGGGAAAAAAACCTAACAATCCTAACATTAGTATTAGAGCAGTTCAATTCTTGTTGCTGACAAGTGGGGTAAGAATATTCTAAAGGAATATTCAATATGGTGGATACAAAGTCTGGTAGACCCTAAAAGAAGGACTATGGCTTAAGTATGATCGCGGACGATTATTCTTTGACGAAAGAAGGATTGTTAGGCACTAAGTCAAGATAATAGGATAAACAAAGGGCCTTATAATCAAATGATCACCCCTTTAACTAATTGTGTAAGGGATAGAATCCTAACAGATATCTCCTTCGTCATCTTGATAACAAGTGTGAACAGACAGCACACTACTATCACTTTGCTGCCATGTATGCATGCATCAGTCATGAAAATGATGTTGCTAAAGAGCATGGTTAGCTGTGTTGGTTTTCCCAAGGCAAGAGAGATTGGGGCTACGGACTTGTTTGCAATCATTGGTCATGAGTGGAATCCTTTTCAGTTTGGGGAGTACTCTTATGGGTGTTGACTGACTTCAAAATCCTCTGGGAGTAATAAGTGTCAATTGAGTATGAGTTTCCTAAAAGAAATAATAGCTTAAAACTAAAACTTAAAACTTAATAGCTGTAAAATAATAGCTTAATAAAAATCTCTGGAATATTAACTGGATTTTTGGTGGAATCTTTTATATAAAAAAAACAATCTCATTTAATTTTAAATAAAAATACGCTGAATTAAATAGGAGTGAACAATTTATTATTAAGCTTTTATTATATTTTTCTATCTATTCTCCTACAAATTCAAGAGGATTTATTATCACATGGAATTCTGAAAGGATAGTTTTAGTGCCTCTAATACTACAACTAACACCCACACATAGTTTTAAGTCCACCTTGCACCATTAAAACTAATATTCTTACTAATATAAAAATATCACATTTTAGAGATATTGTGAAAAAACAAACAAGTGTAGAGAACAATGTTTTGGTTTATAATATAAACTATCATACATTTATACTAAAGTATTTTTTACACTTGACTTGAAATAGAATTAAAATATATCAAGTTCGTAAAACTCATATATAAAGGCCATTTGTTCTTTTATGTTCTCCTTTTTAAAATTTTAATTCCTTTTGATGTACAGGAGAGGGAATTGTATAATAATATATGCTAAAAATATAATAATTTGTTCATTATTTCTTACAATTAGCTAGTCATAAATTTAAAATTTTATTTCACTATGATACCTTTTAGCAACTAGCAGAGTGTGTTGGAGTATAGAAAATTTAAGAAACATTTTATAAGTTTTGATAAAATAATATCAGACCTACCATAAATAGTTAGGGAACACACTATTTAAACTCGGTGAACAAGTTAAGTTCATCTTGAAATGATTTGATTGCTAAAATATGAATCATTAATTTACTTATCAATCTAATTTTTGGCAAGAAAATAATGAACTTTAAAAATACTGTGCTTCAGATTTTATTATTATGGTGCTGTTTTACAATAAATAACTTTTAATTTACTTATACTTAATACTTTTTTACCAAAGTTAGTAATATATAATGCAACAACATGTTGTTGCTGGAAGAAAATTAAGAATTAAATCCTCAATTAAATAACAACAAGCAATGATCAAAGTGCATTATGGTTTTTGTTTGTCTAGCTTTTGTTAGTGTTGCCTGCCAAGGATCTTTCAATGCTACTTTACCTTAATCTCTTTCTTATAGCAACAACAAGTCCATAATGTAATTAGTTTCCTTTTACATATTTATCTCAAGTACTCATTTTATGATATCTTTTGAAGAGAAATGACCTCAAGGAGATGATGAAGATTTTGTAGCTTCTACAGTAGCTAGAAGATTGTCTAGGCATCTAGTATTCTAGGGCATCTCTAAATGGTCTACCATTTTGTTTATTTGGAGCCATTGTTTATTTTTATGTGATTGTCTTTACAATTGTCATTGTAGTGTGGAGGATGTCAAAGGTGGAACTTTCTAGTTGAACTTGTTGAATCAATAGAATAAACTATATATAAGGTCAATATGGTACAAGATAGCTAATTAATATATAGCTGAATATTGTTATTTTAAAACTAAAACTAATCTATGTATATAGTATTTTTTTTAATACATTATCTTAATGGATAATTTAAAATTCTGGTGTCTTAAATAATATTTATTATAGCTGCAAAATTTGCTTGGTTTTAAGTGACTTACTATTTTATTTTATATAAATTAGAAATGGTTATATTCAAATTCAAATTTATAGATACAAATTATTTTATAGTAGTGGTCAAAATCTAATAGCCACCACCATAATATGGAGGACTGGGCACATAGCCAGACCCAGATCCTGAGCCACTTCCACCCCCACTCCCTTCTCCAGAACCTGGAGTGCTACCGTAATAAGGTGGTGGACTGCATGGAAGAGTTCCACTTGGAGAAGATCCTGCGCCACTTCCATTCCCGCTTCCACTTCCACTACCACTTCCAGTGCCACTTCCAGGAATTCCACCATAGTATGGACTTCCACTTCCTCCAGAACCGCTTCCAGAGCCAGAACCAGAACCAGAGCCGGAGCCGGAGCCCGAGCCCGAGCCCGAGCCACTTCCAGGAATTCCTCCATAGTATGGACTTCCACCTCCACTTCCTCCAGAGCCACTTCCAGAGCCGGAGCCAGAACCACTCCCACTACCTTGTCCAGAGCCACTTCCATACGAGCCACCACTCCCGGATCCCGATCCCATTCCAGAGCCCGAGCCCGAGCCGCTGCCTTGTCCAGAGCCGGAGCCACTGCCAGGCGAAGAACCATATCCCGGACTTCCACCACTTCCAGAGCCAGAACCCGAGCCACTTCCAGAACCGGAGCCAGAGCCAGAACCCGTGCCGCCTCCACTCGCTGGGCCACCACTTCCATAGCCGCTCCCAGAGCCGGAGCCACTCCCCATCCCAGAGCCCGAGCCAGCTCCAGAACCAGAGCCAGCACCACCTGGAATTCCTCCATATACCGGTGACGATGATCCAGAGCCGGATCCGCTTCCTTCTCCAGAGCCGGAACCAGAGCCATCACCAAAGCCTGCGTATCCTGAGCCACCACCTTGATAGTCTTTTGTCGGAGCGGAAAAGAAGCCGGATGCTTTAAACTTTCGGTGGTGATGGTGGTGAGCGCACACGGAGGAGGTGAAGAGCAATGCTGCTAATAGAACAGCGCTGAGGATCATCGTCGCCGAACGGGTGGCAGCCATGGTGGTGGCAAGAGCTGCAGGGATGCGAGTTAGTGATGAGAAAGAAGTGAAAGCCTGACCGAAATTTATAGCTCGCTCGCGCTGAATCGAGAGAACGCAATGCGACTTTCGGAGCATCTGCTTGTACTCGGATTCTCATAGCTATGCCCCAGCTGGATTCGTTTCAACGAAACTGTTCTTTTGTTTGCTTACAGGATCATCATAACACTTTCACCAACTCGCCCAGACTTATCGCCCTGCCTGGACCTCGTGCATGAGAAACCAGACAAACGTTTTAAAACCATCATTTAGATTATGTAAGTTATGTACCAGAGATGCATGGCATCAATCTTGCCTATAGTACTGCTGCGGTGAGAAAGCTGCGCTTCCATCCGGATGGTCCGAACTTCTTCCAGCCCGATTCCTCTCCGTACACGTAGCACTGCAACAAAAAAATAGCTTGGTAGTACATTGTAAGAGAATCAAGAAAATCATACAGTATCACAAAGAACATTCATTGTTTGCAGTCCACCGATAACGTGGATGGCGCCATTGACAGTGACTGCAGTACCGTAAGCTCTTGCGCACCCCATGGGTCGAACCTGTTTCGACGTTGTCAGATAAACGATAAAACGAAACATGATTCAGTGACTTACCGTTTCCCAGCGGTCGGCACGGGGATCAAAAGCCTCGACGGTCGAAAGAAATACAGAACCATCGAAACCTCCTAGCGCATACCTGCAGAAACATGTCTTCTAATTCTGACTAGAAGCTGGACGAGGTGGACAAATACTCACAGTCTCCCATTTAAGACAGCCGCGGATAAGCTGCCTCTCTTGGACGTCATCGATGGCATCTTCGTCCAGACAGATTCACGAGGATCAAAGCGCTCCATAGTCCTAATCAATGCACCATCTTTAGCAACCAAAAGCTTAGAAAAGACTACGAGTATACCTGAGATAATGTCTACCGTCAAAGCCGCCCAGAGCATACAAAGCTCCACCAATCTCAGCAGCTGCTACCATGTAACGCTGCAATGCAGAGAGTAAATGCAAAAAAAAAACAAAACGAGAAAGAAAATAACGTCGTTACCTTTTCGAGCATGCTCGGAGAAGACGTCCAAGCACCAAGGTGGGCGTCGTAACATTCCACTTGAGAAAACTGGGCTTTACCGTTACCGCCGCCAAGAGCATACACTTTACCACCGACTGTTGCTCCTGCTAAGTTACCACGCTTGTATTTCATCGAGCTGCATTTGCTCCAGCTATTACTGATAGAGTCGTAACGCTCAGCTGAGTTAGTACAAGATACCATCGCATGAGAAGACCAGAGATTCAATGAAAGGAGCATTCTTACTTGTGTCGAACCAGTTCTTCCCATCTCCACCACCAAACACGTAAATGCGATCGTCCAAAACGCTCGACGCGGCGGAAGATCGCGGGAAGAGCATGGAGCAAGATGGCGTGAACTGCGATGATTTAAACGAGTATACTTCCGCAGCTGTCACGAGAGCAGTATCATCGTAGCCACCCATGACAAATATCTGTGGACTGGCCAAGTTCGCCGATTTTCCCACAGCCCTGGCTTTCAGTCCACGCACTTCGAGCTTCAAGGCTTGGATTTGCGAAGCCATGCTTGCCTGCCAGGTATGAGAAAGACGTAGTTTTTTTTCTTTCTCCCACACACAAAGGAAAGTTTTGGATACCTGAGAGGTTTCAAGCAGCACATTTGCCTTCTTCAGCGTCTCCACATCGTTAAGTTGCTTCGAGTAAGTTTTGGCGACCTCGAGAAGCCTTCTAAGCTCGACATCGTCTCTCCTCATCTTGAGAGGAATTTTAGAGAAAGAACTCGCAGATCAGCAAATATCTAGCTAGAAATATCGTTACCTGCGCCACGGCATTCGCGCAGAACTCCAGATTCTTGTCGGCGGCCAGGGCAAGCGCCGGATCCGCGGATTGAAGCGACAAGCGAAGCCGATCGCGCTCCGCCGCGAGCATCGCTTGCTCCTGAGCGCAGCGCTCGCCGTCGAGGCGCTCCCATTCCGCGATCGGGAGATCGCGCCCTAGCTCCAGCTTCTCGAGAATGGACGCCTCGAGCAGCGACATCGCAAGAAGATTTTCAAAAGCCCTGAACCCTAAACCTCGCCTGCTGACTAGGACGATACGAACGGGTAGTGAATGACGTGGCACTTAACTGGGAATCTAGGGTTCTTGGGCGATCAAAATGGCGGCATTGGAGACACTCCCCGAGGACGCCGACAAGAAGAAACGGGTGAAATCGATCTTCCAGATCATCTCCATCGCAACTGATTCTTGCGTGATCATCCTCTGCAGGTCATTATCGAAAGCCCTCTTCCCTACGCGCCAAAGAAGAAGTTCCGTGTTGGACAGGTGAGAGACACGATCGCAGCAGTGCTGAAAGAGAAATTGAAGGGCCTGGTGTATGATCCTGAGACATCTCCGGGCGTTGCCAGGGATCTCGCCGATTCCATCAAATCGGACCTCAAAGGTATCTCTTCAGAGCTGATCAAGAGTAATTCGATAAGAATTCAGCCAGATCTGGAATTCGAGAGGTACAAGCTCGTCGTCCAGGTGGTGATCGGCGAGGTGAGAGGGCAGAGCATGCAAATGGCGTCGCGATGCTTCTGGGATCTCGAGACTGACGATTACGCGGAGGCGACCTACAACGATGGCAATGTCTTTGGTGTCGGCGTCGTGTTTGGAATGTTCTTGCTCTAATCGACGATTCGATAGCGATCGATTGCGCAAGCTCTTCGCTTTTAAAGGAAGAAGAAAGAAGAATATGCGGGTATCTCATAGCCGAAGAACCAATGGTTTTCAAAAGAACGTAGAATATTCGCAAGACCAAATAGTCCCATTTTCAAACGATTTAACGGCGTAGTAGGACTATAGGATTGGGAAAATATATTTGAGTACGTTCGCAAGGTCAGATTTCCCGTTCTGCGTCGATCGATCAAATTTGTTTCAATGCAATCATGATATTGAGATGGATCGCTGCATGGTGCGGTGATCCAGAGAAAAGGCACTGTCACACAGCTAGAAACTTCTTGCTCGCAAGGATAATCATGAATCAAGATATGAACAGCTGGGGTGAGAGGCTTTAGGGTTACTACTCATTATTGTTTATCAAGAATAAAAGGTATGTATCCTCTCGGTTTTTTCTCTCCCGGTTGTCTCTCGTTCTGGTTTTCTTGGCTTGGCTATGGCTTTCTCTCGGCTCTTCCGCCCTTCCCTCGGCTTTGGTTTTGCCAGGAACTTCGGATCGCGGGGATGGGAAACAAGCTTCACTCGTTTGTTGATTTGTCTTTGTTGCTTCTTCCTTTCTCATAGATCCTGGGGTTTGTATTCTCAGATGTGGAGCAGTCGGAGCACGCTGTGATCCAGGGAGGCCAAGAACAGAGGATCTGGCATAGCCAGACCCTGGTCATTACACAGCAGGCGGCCCCAGATGCCAACCACGGTGGCGCTCCTCTTGCTGCTGGTGGTGGTGCTCCTGCTGTTGGCGCTCATCAGGGTGGCACTCCTCCATCGGCCACTGCTGCGGACGGTGGTGTTTCTCCTGCTGCTCACGGTGGCGCTCCTCCATCGGCCACTGCTGCGGAAGGTGGCGCTCCTCCTGCTGCTCATGGTAGCGCCCCTCCATCTCCGATGTCTTCGTGGGACTGGAACACGTCCTCATCGTCATCGGCCACCGGATCGCCAATGTCGTCCTGGGACACGCCCTCGCGGACAGTGGGGGCAATGGTGGCGGTGCGCCCGACGGTGGTGACAGTAGCTACTGGATCCTTTTCTACAAGGACCTGGACTGGTGATCATCTGTGTTTTGCTAGAATTGTTTTGATAGAAATGAAAGTCGACGCCGTGTTAACGCTCCAGAAGAGTAGAGATCCCACCAGATCGTACGTGGTCGATTGGAGCCTTGGCATCTTCTCCGTGGCTATGGAGCTGGAAAAGACTCGATCATCAAACGAGAAACAGCCTCCCGCGCTCTCCTCCCCGCCTCTCTATCGCGCGTTTGCCGCTCCTAAAGAGCGCGCGACCTTCTCAAGTAAACATCGAAAAGTTCGGTCTAGACTTTGGTGATGCGAAGGCAGTACCTTGACGATCTTCCGGATGAGGTCCTCATTCGGATCATGTCTCTCCTCGCCTGGTCCCGCGACTTGAATCCCTCGTCTCTGGTAAGCAAGAGGTTTGCGCACCTGGCAAGGCTTGTCACGCACTATTGCTTGGAATCGAGGAGTCATGATGTGGAGCAGGGGCTCATCCGCTGGTTTGGCCACAACAATCTTCGCCAGTTATCCATCCGGTTCCAGCAAGAATGCACTCGCTGGCTGCACCAGATCGGGAAGGGGCTCCACTCGGTGACCATCTACGGAGGTCCGCAGCAAAAGTTCGAGGGCCTCTGGTTCAACATCTCTGCGTGCCAGGAGCTCCGCTGTCTCCACGTCTACGTCACACAACTCGGCTCCACGCTCGGCAATGCAGCCTTGCCTTCACCGCTGCTGCCTAATCTCCTCTTCCTCACCTTTCACATACCGGTCAACGTGAGTGTGCTGCAGCAGCTGCTCGAGCTCTGCCCTTCGCTTCTTGCAGCGAGAATGAATACAATAGTGGTGAGCTCGCCCGGTATGTAGAGCTGGCCCGATTCACCGAGTCTGGGCATTTGTTGTTGTTTCTCACATATATGTGATTTTATGTTTATGCAGGTACCTACGTGCTCAAGAGCCGCAGCCTCGACAGCTGCCAGTCGGAACACTGCGAGGGTGGTGGAGTGGACAACTTTACACTTGCCCTTGACACACCAAAGCTCCGGTGGATGTTCTTCTTTGCTCCGCACATCGAGTTACATGCAACGTAGAGTGGATCCGGGTGAGAGAGAGCATGTGGAACATCCAGGGGCTGGGCTACACCAGGCTCAAAAAGATCATCTTCCTCAATCCGTTTAGCAACCCCACCCAAGTAATGGACAAGGCAGCGTTGTGTAGAACGTCGAGCCTGAAGAAGTTCTACTTCTGCATCTTTGACGATGGCATTCCACCCTGCTCTATTGATCTTGTGGCCCTGCTGGAGCCGTTCCAGGGGCTTGAGGAGTTCATTGTCTCTTTCATAAGTATCAAG